CGAGTTTCGGTTTAATTATCATATATATTTATGCTTATCGTATTTAAACATTATAAGTGATATTAACTATGTTTAAAATTTATTAATTTATATCATGCAAATGTATAGCTTTGATCAACCGACTTCAATCGTTTCGAAAATTTTCCCAAAATTTAAACATTGTCGAGTGAAGGAATCACGGAATCCGATAAATTAAAACTGAAGTCGTAAGATAATTAGCTTTTATTTATGCATAAATTGTGCAGTGCGTTCTTTCTAACACTGACCATAGAGATTCCCAACTCAAGGTGTCTACCCTGTACTAGCTGATACTTTGGTGACTCGATTTTTGCCTTGATGATTGAACACTGTCACTGTTTTCCTTTTTTGTTGTATCGAGATGCTACTTGAGCATCAACTGTTACCTACTGAAGTATTAGCATCATCTAGAAAAACTAGAAATATTTTGATTTGATATTCGAGTGTAGATACTTCGTATTTCGAGTATGAGCATCTACTGAGTTTTATTTATATCAACCATTGTCAAAAATTTGATCGAACGTTGTTTCGACAGAACTTCCTTCGCACCAAAAGTATAATGAAACATTTTCAGCATTTTCGAGTTGAGTCTTTTCTTCACACAATTTTGTGATGACCTAATCAACATTTACGATCAACACGTATACCACCTTGGATTGGTGCAGAGTAATACTAAAAATAACTGTATTGTATTCCCAAAATTATCTGCGAAAATCGAGTGGGCCGTTCCATCAATTTTTTGGGGGGAATAAGTAAATATTCTTAACAATTTACCATGCTTACAATAATTTTAAAACGTCTGCAAGATCTCAAAGAAGTCATTTCTTCAGCTCTTGAGTTATTCTCTAAAATAAATTGACTGATCCATACATTTTTTGGAGTCACTGTAAAAACAAATCTAAAAAATATGAATGCAATGATAAATTACGAAAATATACTGATGATGTTTTGCACATTTTAGATAGGATTTGTTCGGCAAAATCTTGAGATGACGTCATCAAGTTTTTGGGCTTGATAAACAGATATATTTTGATTAAAAACCTACCATGTCAAACAGTAACTTCAAAACGTCTGCAATATTTCAAAATTCAGTTTTGCAATTCTTGATTCAATCAATAAAATAAATTGACTCAGTGATTAATTTTTTTGAGACACCCCCTATAAGCAAAACCAAAAATTATGAATGGAATGATAAATCACAAGTATAGTCTCATCCTATCTTGGACATTTTAGAGAGGATTCATTTGGCAAAATTTTGGGCTGATGTCATCAATTTTTTGGAGGGGATAAGTAAATATATTTTGAATAAAAATTTATTATGCTTATCATATGTTTAAAACATCTGCAAGATTTCAAAGCATTCGGTTTTGCAAATTCAAAATTAAATTGTAGGTGAAACGAAGTTCACCGGGTCAGCTAGTTATTAATATAAGTTTTGTGTAGTTGTTTCCAAATGTCTGTATTACCGAGAAGATTATCCAAGAATATTTATCATACGTGTTCGCGCAGAATGAAAATTAAAACCTGCGATAGTAACTCAGTCCTGCCGCGCACTGTCGGAACGGGACCACAGTCCAGGTGAATCAGGCGGCTAGGACGTGAGGTTTCCATGGCAGCGGTGTAAACAAAACGTCTAAATCAGCCATGATTCGGTCTCTGGTCCTGGCTTTTATCAGAATTTCAGCAGAAATAACACCAGCCGCCCCTGATAATTAATTAATATCCTCATTACTTTCAAACGTTCCTCTACTGGTGCTTTCACCATGAAATTTCTTTACACTAACCTACCACAGAAATTTTAAAGTTATATTTTGAAATTTACGTGAATCTAAGGATGAGGACCCGGGGTGGGCTAGTTAGTATCATGCTTGCCCGCTACACCTTGGGTCGTGGGTTCGATTCCCGCCATGGCTCTGGGTGTAACGTGTATGTCCCGTTCCCCTGTAATTGGGCCTCAGTGCCTGTTGGGGGACGTAATTAATAAAATAAAAAAAAAATAAATAAAAAATAAAAAAAAATGTTATTCAAGAAACCAGCAATAATTTCACAATGTTCAAACTCAAATATGTAACTGTGCAGTAGACAGATAAAGTGTTTCTAAAGTTATTTGGAAACAGAGTTAAATACTTTTATTGCACTCTCAGCGGGATATAAATGTCCCAACCATAAATGTTTCAAAGCCCTGCGCCGCAGATCAGATTGTGCACTTCAGTGCATGCTGGTCGGATTCAGTGAAATTTGACGGGCTTATTTCGTAAACGTATTAGAATTAGGTTAAAAAAAAACAGAATTTCAAAATATCAATAATATTATATTTATATATTTACAAAGTGACCGAAATTAAAACAAAATAAATTATTCATTGTCTTCTTCGTAGCTGCTGTCATCTAAATGTACAGGATTATGATAAAGTAATGCACAAAATTCCTAAAAAGCACAAAAAAAATCAAAAACATGTTAAGCTTTTATTTTTAAATAGGAAGGTATAAGTTTGATTGCATTATTTGATAAAGCTTATATGAAAATGTAGTTTAATGTAGGGGTTGGATAATAAAAAAATTGAGGCAAACAAAATAAACATAATTTGAATGATAAATATTAAATAAACAGAACAATACGTTGGAGTAAAAATTTATGCTTTAGAAATTGTTCAAACTGTTCCCCATTCACTATCTGACACAAACCCAGGCGATGGTAGATCTGATTTACGGAATTTTCAATACTCTTAATGACGAATTCGTGCTTTCCAGTCGTCTAAATTATCTGATCTAATCAAGGGGTGTCAAATCTGGGGATCTAGCTGGCCATTCTATTGGTCCACGCCTTCCCATCCACCTTCCATCAAATTTATTATCCAAGAAAACCCTTACATTTACGCGACAATGTGGCGGTGCCCCATCCTGTTGGAACCAAATCCTGCGATTTAAATTTTGTGGATAATTTGGATCAGGAAACGTAGCAATTAGATCCGGAAATACTGCGGTTCTAAGATGATCCAAATATCGATCTGCTGTTAAATTTCCGTGAAAAAAGTAAGGACCCAATGAATGAAAAGCTTTATCAAATAATCCGATCAAAATTATAGCGTCTCATTTAAAAAAGTCATGGATGACGTCATGGCTTTTACAAATTTGACGTATTTTTTTTTTACATATGTCAAAAGTTGGAGATTAAAATGAAAGGCTTGACATATTTTTGCATTTTTTGTAAAACAAATGCTTCGCTTTTTATGAATTTTGGGCATTACTTTATTATAACCCTGTTCAGTGTTCCGTCGTTTCCTGTATGCTTCTTCTATTGAAACGACTTTTTTGACGCAATTGAACCATTCATCTTCACCAATTGTTTTTATTTGATTCATAATTACGTCGATGGCACTGGCACTAAATTTTGGATTCTTATTATTCGACGTACTCTTAATTTAATGTGGACCATATCATTTCAATTGGATTAAGCTCGCAGTGATAAGGAGGTAACCGCAGGACCTAATGACCGTGTCTCGTATAACTTTTGTTGTTTGACAGAGCTTTTTAAGGTCAAAAAGTTTTGATGAAAATACATCAAAATCGTGTTCAATATACGAATACTTTTGCAGCGCTTGATAGAGGGCTAACATTTTGTATTTCTTAAGTTTGACTGAGGCACCCGTAGGTACTTTTGCTCAAGCAATTCTGGACAATCAATGTTTGCATTAATGATTTGGTGTAAAAAGGATATTGACTCAGTAATTCTTCTTGCAAGCACGCTGTCCAATCCAAATCTTTTTAATATAAGGTTTTGTGGAAAACCCTGACTTGGGTAAACATTGTCAACTAAAAAATCTAAGTACTTATCAATGTGTACGTTGTAAACAGGACTCCAGATAACTGAGGCATATTATCACCAATTTTGTAATCAAATTTGATTGCATTTTTCTTTTTAGTATACGACATAGCAAAACACTTTTCATGATTAAATGCCAAGTCATTAGCAGACGAGCAGTTTATTATTTTTTTAAGATTTGATTGAAGACCTTCACAATCGACAACATTGTTTACTTCTAAGACAATCTTTAGATCAACTGCGTACATTAAGCACCTCCCAGTTAAATTCTCAACAACGTCATTAACGGAAATATTATAATAGAGTGGTCCCATGACCGTTCCCTGTGGTACACCACAGGGCTCTGAGCGATAACCCAGACAATAAACATATTGAGTCCTATTTTCTAAATACGACGTAATCAAGTTTACTAAAGAATCTGAAATTCCAAAATATCTGCGTTTACGAATTAAAAGACGATGATTTATTTTATCGAAAACAGAATTACTTGTCACCAATGATTGAAACCGAGTACTAAAATGATGCAACTCACCTTTCAGCTCTTCTACTTCATTACTGAACCGTATTGATTGATAATTAGATATTTTAGCATTCAATTTAATAACATCATTTTTTAATGATCGTAAATTTTCATTTACATTATTAAGGACTTTTTTATCTACAATTTCACACACAGTTTTGCAAATATCACACCAAAAAAATAAATTTTTGCATTTTTCCAGTACTAATTTAAATTCAGATACGTTTGGTTTTTTACTTTTTATAATACTTAAATCAATTCTACTCAAGAACTATAAGGCCTTACGAGCTGATGCTATCAACCACACCAATTTCTATCAAGAAAACAAGTCATATGTACTCACAGAAAAATTCAGCTAATAAGAATAAACAATTTCATCAATATACCCAAAAACTCTAAGACAGCACCGAAACAACCTCACACAGTCACTCACTCACACAATTTTATAGGGATTAAAATGCTCAATAGCAAGTACTTGAAGGTTGACCAGGGACTAACTCAGAAAGTGCTTAACTCTATTTCCAAATATCTTTAGAAATACTTTACCCTCCTGTCCTGTACACTTAATTATTACTTATTTTTTGTTTTCAAATGCAAACAAGCAATAAAACAACAACCATTTAAATCTGCTTCGTTCCAGGGCTCTTACGGCATTGTAAAACTGGCTTACAACGAAGAAGATGACACTCATTATGTAAGTATCAGCTCGAATCTCAACGGCTTGCTCATTACGAAAACAATTAACACCTCCGAGACGTGTCGAAAGATCCCATTGTAAGACTGCAGATGTTTTGCAGGCGATGAAGATTTTATCGAAGAAGAAACTGTTGAAGAAGGCCGGAATGTTCGGCAGGATGCCGCCGAAAAAGGAAGGACGGCCCAATTCCGACATGAACCACCCGTTGCAGAGAGTATATCGGGAGATAGCTATTTTAAAAAAACTTGATCACCCGAACGTCGTTAAACTAGTTGAAGTCCTCGATGATCCGGTTGAGGATCATCTCTATCTGGTATTTGAGCTGTTGGAAAGGGGGCAAGTGCTTGAAGTGCCCACCGATAAACCCTTGACGCCGGATCAAGCATGGACATATTTCAGAGATGTAATTTTAGGAATTGAATACTGTGAGTAAGCGGTGTTAACGTGGATTTATAAACTTAAAAAGCACGAGTAGATTTGATTTATTTTCACTCGCGAATGAAAACATGCGATTTAAAATTTCGTGTTATGTGCACTTGATGGTTTTCGAGTGAAAACACACTATAAAATTTTATTTATTACAAACTGTGAAGTCTTGTTTATTTGACATTCAAAATATATTATCATCAGTTCGCGCTCGCAGTTTAAAACGTGGAAAATTAAAATTTTATCAGATTCAGGTTTAACGAATCCCGATCGTTGAACGGAATTTGTACCTATATTTAGTCAAGGCCGCTGACAAATCCTAAAAACGTGAAAAACAATAATTTTAACCTTTAAGATAATACCGTGTAATTTCTGGCATGATAAAATATTATAGATTAAATTTGTCCTTCGATTCTTCGCGTCGATATTCCCTACAAATTACAAAACAAGTCCTATTTTCTTTTATTGCTCAGCATTTTTTATGACAATAAATAACTGATAAATTTGTACGATTTTAGATTACACTGGCTTATTAACGACATTAACGAGAAGATGGAGACAAATTTCTTTGGAATTTTAGTTATCAGATAAAATTAAGTGATTAATTGTTCCGCTGAAGTGGTAAATACACAACCTGAAAACTTTCATTTTACGTTCTTTTCTATACAAGTATTTCGAAAAATTTATAAGTTCTGTGTTCATACTGATTTTAAAATTGCGGAATTCTTACTTCGTTACAAATTACCATGATTCAGAATAGATACAATTACGTTATAATTAAGCACAACACTTAACTTAATTTTATTAACATTTCGGCTGTTTCGTAAAATCACTCTCGATTATTATTATTATTACTTTAGAATTGTAGAATTATCTAATCACTAACACCGTTCTTAATTAGACAGATAAAATTACAAAATTGATCCCATGACTTAAGCGGCAAAAACAAACCTATAGATTGTCGGCGTGATTTTTTCACTTGTATCAGCATTTCGGAAAATTTATTCCACGAATGTTTTTGTTACTTCATATTGCTGAATCACTTTCTAATCACAAATTACCATGATTCGACAAAACTAACTTTAACATACTTTACGGAACGCTCTGGTTTTTCTAGCCCAATATGAAAATTGTCCTAGGGTTATTTACACAGAACTTAGCAGCTAAAGTCGATATTTTGAACGGGATTTACGAGGGAACGTAATCAAAATGTTGGTGGCGAGCAATTGGTTTAGTAGTTTCTAAGGCAAATTGTTAAGTTTTAGTAAACAATTTTTCCAAAATCTACCAGAATTAAAAATCGATGCGCAACACTTTTTTAGGGATTTTTTGCCCTGTTTTCAAGGTATATTTAAAAAAGTCCAATTTTTAAAAATTCTGCCTTCTTTTTAAGAAATATAAAATTCGATTTCAGCAAAAAATTCATCTTCGGAAAAACAGTTAAAATTCGCCTTAGGTACAAAGTGATAGGCGACACGCTTCCACGACCTACTTCGACCCTATAATCATTTATAAAAACCCTGTGTAATGGAACAAATGAAAACTTTTTAAATAAGTTGGCTTTAATTGCGTCTCTAGACTGATTTCATTAGACTTCGTAAAAGTTAGTTTTGGAACTGGTAGGAAAAAACAATCGACAAATATCGGTTTTGTGAAAAAAGTCAAGGCGGATTCATAATCCACAAGTACTAGAATACCTGATACAACATAAATAGTATTTACTTCGAAACATTGTGAAGGGGTCATTTACGCAATATTCCTAGCATACATATAAAATTTGACAACAATAGGTTCGATAGTTTCCATGATTATCTGTTTAATAAAAATCGACACAAACGATACACGGTAGACGGATGTACAGAAACGTGAGACTTATTTTTTCGTACTCTGGGGGTCATGAAACTTCGAGAAAACGTGAAAGTAGTCATTCTTCTCCATTACGATAGCTCCTTAGTTTATGTTTGAAAGTAAAGGCACTAAGACTTCAAGATTCTCAAGACATTTTAAACGTTTTTTCCCAAAAATCTGTATGTCTAGGGCAAAAACTTGACACGGATTCATAAGCCACAACTCTAGACAGACAGACAATGTTTTCGTATTCTAGGGGTCTTGAAACGTCGAGGAAACATGAAAGTAGGCGTTAGTAGCTTACGTTCGAGTAGTAAAAATCCCCCTGTACAAGGCATAAAAGGTAGAAAATATGAAATTAACCATTCTTCAAATGAATTTTGGTACAATAAGACAAAAAGTGCATATTTTTTGATAACGCCTACATAGCTTCTAAAATAAAATGAAAAATGTTGTCATATGATGTGGTTAATTCGTCATCATGTAAAATAAAAATGTTCACTTTTTCTGTAAAATTTTGAATTTTTTTCCGAAAATCTATCTTTATAAAGTAGGGCGAAATAATGTGCCACAAGTATATCGTTGTATAAAATTTTAATACGATTTATCTCGCAAAATTTTTAAATGACGCCATCAAGTTGTTGGCGGAGATACATACAATGATTACTATTAAAAAAAATAGTCTATGGTTATTTAGACAGAAATTCCCTTGCCTGTTAAATATTTGCCAAGATAAGACTTATTTTGCCAAATGATATACCTTCTAACCTTCATTTTCTTAGAGGGTATGTCATTCGGCAAAACCAGTCTTCTCTTGGTAGGTACTAGCCCTCTAAAAAAATTGAGGGCGGGTGGGCGGGGCTAGTTCTTGCGAAGATAAGGCTGATATTTCCAAATAACTTACCCTATATAAATAATAAATAATAAAGGGCGGGCAGGTGGGGCTACTATTTGTCAAAATAAGACTGATTTTAGCAAATGACGTACTCTCTAAGAAAATAAAGGGTGGGTGGGCGGGGACAATACTTGCCAAAATAAAACTGATTTTGCCAAATTATATACCGTCTATTCTTCATTTTCTTAAAGGATATGTCATTTGGCAAAATCACTCTTATCTTAGGAGGTACTAGCCCTGCCCACCCACCCTCTCTTTTCTTAGAGGATATCTCATTAGCCAAAATCAGTATTATCTTAGCAGCTACTAGCCCCCCCACCCACCCTCTCTATCTTTAGACTATACTGTTTGGCAAAATCAGTCTTATCTTAGAAAGTACTATACAATCAAACAAATCGGGTTTTTTAGAAAAATTGAAAACTTAGATTTTGCAAAATTTAATTTTTTATACAAGAAATTTCAAAATGATTTTCATCTAGTCGCCTATGGCTGCAGATTACCATCAAAGGAAAGACAGGAATTGAAGCGATTTCAACGCTAACTAGACGAAAATGATTTTGAAACACCCTTTATGATATACGAGTAAAAAAATGGTCAAAAGTTATTTCGACAGAACTTCTCTCGCTTCTGTACAATCCAAAAAAACTGCTTCTCTGAAAAATTATAAAATTTGATTTTGCGGAATTTTACTTTTTCGTGATAACCCCTATCTCTTAAAAAAGATATTTGGGACCCCCGAGAAGGTTTGGCCTATTTTAAAAAAGGACAGTTGGGACCCCCGAAAAGGGTTCAGATTCTTAAAAAAAGACATTTGAGGCTCCCGGAAAGGTTTCACATTGTAAAAAAAAATATTTGGCGCCCCCGAGAAGGTTTTACATTTTTATAAAAGACAGTTGGGACTTCCCAGAAGATTTCACATTCTTAAAAATGACAGTTGGAACCCCCTAGAAGGTTTCACATAAAAAAAAATCATTTGGGGCCCCCGAGAAGGTTCTACATTTTTATAAAAGACAGTTGGGACTCCCGAGAAGGTTTCACATTCTTAAAAAAGACACTTGGCGCCTACGAGAAGGTTTTACATTTTAAAAAAAGACAATTGGGACCTCCGTGATGGTTTCCCAATAAAAAAAGACATTTGGGGCATCCGAGAAGGTTTTACATTTTTAAAAATGACAATTGGGACCCCCGAGAAAGTTTCAGAAGAAAAAGACATTTGGGCCGTCTAAGAAGGTTTTACATTTTTAAAAATGACAGTTGGGACCCCCAAGAAGGTTTCAGAAGAAAAAGATATTAGGGACCCCCGAGAAGGTTTCACATTATTATAAAAACATTTGGCACCCAGCACAAGGTTTTACATTTTTATCAAAGACAGTTGGGACCCTTGGCCAGGATTCGCATAAAAAAAGATATTTGGGGCCACCGAGAAGGTTTTACATTTTTAAAAATGATAGTTGGAACCCCCGAGAAGGTTTCAGAAGAAAAAGACATTTGGGGCGTCCAAGAAGGTTTTACATTTTTAAAAATGACAGTTGGGACCCCCAAGAAGGTTTCAGAAGAAAAAGATATTAGAGACCCCCGAGAAGGTTTCACATTATTATAAAACCATTTGGCACCCAGCACAAGGTTTTACATTTTTATCAAAGACAGGGACCCTTGGGCAGGATTCGCATAAAAAAGATGTTTGGGGCCACCGAGAAGGTTTTACATTTTTAAAAATGACAGTTGGAACCCCCGAGAAGGTTTCACATAAAAAATACATTTGGGGTCCCCCAGAAGGTTTTATATTTTTAAAAATGAATTTTGGACCCCTGAGAAATAATCACATAAAAAAGACACTTGGGCGTCCCGAGAAGGTTTCGCTTTCTTTAGATAAGGTCAGTTGGAACTCCCGAAAAGGGTTCACATTAAAAAAAAACATATTTGGGGCCCCCGAGAAGGTTTCACATAAAAAATACACTTGGGGTCCCCCAGAAGGTTTTATATTTTTAAAAATGAATTTTGGACCCCTGAGAAGTAATCACATAAAAAAGACACTTGGGCCTCCCGAGAAGATTTCGCTTTTTTTAAAAAAGGTCAGTCGGGACGTTTGAGGCCCCTGGGAAGGTTTCACATTCTAAAAAAACATTTGACACCCCCGAGAAGGTTTTACATTTTTATAAAAGACAGTTGGGACTTCCGAGAAGATTTCACATTCTTAAAAATGATAGTTGGGACCCCCGATAAGGTTTCACACAAAAAAATTCATTTGGGGTCTTCGAGAAGGTTCTACATTTTTGTAGAAGACAGTTGGGACTCCCGAGAAAATTTCACAATAAAAAAAGACATTTGGGGCCCCCAGAAGGTTTTACATTTTTAAAAATGAGAGTTAGGACTCCCGAGAAGGTTTCAGACGAAAAAGATATTAGGCACCCCCGCGAAGGTTTCAGACGAAAAAGATATTAGGGACCCCCGAGAAGTTTTCACATTCTTAAAAATGACATTTGGCACCCCCGAGAAGGTTTTACATTTTAAAAAAAGACAATTTGGACCTTCGAGAAGGTTTCATATTCTTAAAAAAACATATTTGGGGCCCCCGAGAAGGTTTAACAAAAAAAAACATTTGGCGCCCTCGAGAAGGTTTTACATTTTAATAAAAGATAGTTTGGACTTCCGAGAAAGTTTTGCATTCTTAAAAATTACAGTTGGGACCCCCGAGAAGGTTTCACATAAAAAAAAATCATTTGGGGCCCCCGCGAAGGTTCTAGATTTTTAAAAAGACAGTTGGAACCCTCGAGAAGGCAGATACACAATGGGAGAGAAAAAAAAACGAAAAGCCAAGTTTGGAATCGAACGCGCACCTTCCGAAATACCTTACAACGATGGGAAACTGTTATTATACCGTGCATTATGTTTTTGCAAAAATTTGAGTGGTTAGGGAAAAATGTAGGTCCGAAATATTTTGCACATTTAGATAACAAAATTTCGAGATGGCTTCATCAAGTTTTTAGAGGAGATAAACATACAAATAATTCAAAAGAAAGACCTAAATGATGATCAGAAAGTTTCATTTATTAAATTCACATTGTGGTCATAAACTGTTTGATTTTATGTGTAACTTACAAAGTAAAGTAGATAATTAAGTATAATATTTTCGGAAAAGAATGATTTCCTGTGATCATTATTTATATGAATCGTCAAAAGCCGTTCTACAGTTGATCGTGAACTGATAACACACATAGTCTAAGAACTAAACATATTCCAAGTTCCAAGTTTGAAGTTTTTAAATTTAAAATGTCGCCACTGTGGATTATACCACGTTCCAACACAAGTGTTCTGTCAAGCTTCATTCATACGAATTTTTTGCTTATAGAGCTGCATGGAAAGTTCTTTTTATCATAAAAAAGTATGAGATTGACTAAAATGTCCACATTCATATTATCTAGGAAACCATTAACAAATCTAAATCCCGAATTTTATCTGCTCCGTTCGTCACACAATATGTATATGTAATGGGTGTAATCCTTCTGAAATATAGGGAAACCACTTGGCAGAAAGTCAAGTACCAAATTTCAGTCACTGATATCTGAACAGGATGAAATAAATATTCTACATTTGTTCCAGTGCATTACCAAAGGATAATTCACCGTGATATAAAGCCAGCAAACTTATTACTAAGCGAATCCGATCGAGTCCAGATAGCCGATTTGGGCGTATGCAACGAATTCAACGGTTCTGACGCCTTTCTATCCAGCACCGCCGGAACACCAGCCTTCACGGCCCCAGAGGCTCTAGGCGACAACAAATCATCATTCAGCGGCAAAGTAATTATTCCTGACCATTACTCGAAACCACAATTAACCGGTGCATTGTTTAGGCTGCAGACATTTGGTCGATGGGTATAACACTCTACGCATTGGTGTATGGTCAAGTTCCGTTCTTTGACAACAACATAATAGGTTTATACTCAAAGATTCGTCACGAAACTGTAAAATTCCCAGACGCGCCGCTGATCCCCGAGAAACTCAAAGACTTGATCAGACAGATGCTGGTTAAGGATCCGTCGAATCGGATCACACTGCCAGAAATCAAGTTGCATCCGTGGGTGACCAAAGACGGGCAAAGTCCATTGCCCACTGAAGAAGAAAACTGCCATTTGGTCGAAGTTACTGAAGAGGAAGTAGCCAAGGTGATCACGTCGATCCCGAAGCTAGACACGCTCATCTTGATTAAACATATGCTCAAGAAGCATTCCTTCCAGGTATGTTAATGCGGGGAAATGATGCAGAAATGATGCGGAATTACCTTTTTTTTGTAGAATCCTTTTCTTCATAGAAGAGATACGCACAGATCCAGTAATGCAAGCGAAACGACTTCCACAAGACAGCACATAGGTAGATCTGGACGATCTAATTCGGCTCCTGGTTCCTATGACTGGATTTCAGATAGACAGATATCCTTAGATACACCACTGGAATCCGTTACGGAAGTAACAAACGACCAAAATGATAGTAAAATAGAGGTTGAAACAAAACGGTGATAATTATTACCTGTAAAGAGTTTACTTATTTTTTTTAATTTTAAGTACAATGTAGCTTGAGCGATTATCCTTTTTTATACTCTTTTAATATTATTTTTTTAAATAAAATGTTAATTTTATTTATTTATTATTATTTTTCTTGGTTTTATATTTATGAGATGTGTGATATATTTTTGTAAGATTGACGAAAACTGTTAACAACAAAGGGACCACATCACCACATAAAAATGGGTGAAAATCGAAGGACAGCAAAGATTTTCATATCAACTGTTGTAAAATAACTTAGCGATTTCTCTCTTCTTCCCAAATTGCCTTTTATGATGTTGAATCCTTTTTACGGTTTGCATGTGCAACAAATACCTACTAATTAAATACATATAGTATGAAGTTTAAAAGCACTATTTTATAAATTTTTGCACAATTTTCATGTACTCCGTAGTTTGTCATGTTAAGATTTTACAAAATTGTGTGTTTAAAGTTTACGAAATCTTTTGCTCAAATTGTACAATCGTGTTTCAAATTAGCAAATCAAAAAGTTTTCGTTTGTAACTACCTCAAGAAGATTTCGTCTTTCCGTTACAGAAAATGTTATTTCTAATGTTGATTGTTTTAATCGACTTGTCACAATGTAAAGCATATATTCTAATTATACAGTAACTTATATGAAGCAAGTTTAACTTATATTGTTATTACATAAAATTATACAAAATTTTAGACTAAAATTTGGTCTTGAATTTAAATGTTAGTACTGTTATACAATTTTTCTCTATTATCCCATTTGACATTTAATAAATTATTACAACTTATGAAAGTGTTTTAGTGTCCCGACGCAACCAACAACACGATTCTCCAAACCATTGAAACAAAAATTACTGTGGACGCAATGTCACTACCAACAAAACAGTTCATTCACATTTCAAAGTAAAGATTAAAAATTCGGGCCACTAATTAAAATTATTAACTCGATGCGTTCTTTGTGAACGAGCTCTTCGTAGAAGCTACGAGTAATCTTATTTTCTTATTATTGAGGGCAATTATTTCTTGACCCTTCCTAAGAAACACCGATAAGATAATGGAGCATTTATTCAGTAGTCGACTACGTACATTCGAACTTACAAAGTAAAATGAAAAATAACAACGCATCGCTTTAAAAATGGCAAAATACACCACCACCCTGATTGCAATCACAATTTGGATGACGATTTTAAGCAGTTCGCTGCAGGTGAGTACTAAACACACGCGTGAACTTCGAAAGCAACCGATGTTTTAGATTTACGTACCAGATGAAGAAATAGATCAGAAACCTGTAACGTACACTTCAGGAATAAAAACCTCGTCGTACCAAAGACCACATCAACTCAACGTAAACCACAATTACAGTAACGTATACCACCACAACTCCAACAGCTACACTCCGAGCTTCTCGGGCGACGACCGAACGTCGCAACAACGTCTTTACCCCGTTTACAACGCTCACACGTACGGCTCGCGTCCAAACGCCAAACTTACGCAAGTATACGTCTTGAACGGAAGCCGAATCGGCCAAAATTCCAACCCCACACGCCAAATCGTCATCTACAACAAACAAAAACGTACTCCGAAAGTGCAAGTGTACAGAGCATGCCCGAAAAATGCCACAGGTCAATTTGTTTATGAGTCCTCGTGCAATCAGTTCCTCAATTGCTGGAAAGGTCGAGGTTATGTGCAAAACTGCGCTCCAGGTTCACTCTTCAACCCGAAGACCTTGGAGTGTGATTTTCCCGACAAGGTGTCCTGCATTAGCGGCCCAAGAGAATCTATTCTTGAAAATGGTAGAAAATCACGAAACTTGGAACAAATCGGGTGTCCGAAAGATTTTTCGGGACTAATTCCGAACTACACTGATTGCTCGAAGTTCATAAACTGTGTGAGTGGAATTGAGAATTTCATGGATTGTCCCCCAGGGACGTTGTTCGATATTAACAAAAACATCTGCGATTTTGCACACAAAGCGACGTGTTTCAACGGGGAAAATCAGAAACTGATTGAGCGAAATATAGATGGGAAGCTCGATTTTACACCTAGTAGGGAAACGCAACGTGGTCAGGAAAGGCAACAACTGCGGTATCGACATAACGAAGTGCGGTGTCCCTATGGTGCGGAAGGACTTTACAAGCATCCAACAGATTGTTCTAGGTACCTCAATTGTGCAAACGGGGAGACTTATGTACAGAGTTGCGCCCCAGGTACTCTTTTTAATCCTGAGTTAAAAATCTGCGATTTTCCTTACAACGTGGTTTGTCGGAATGGCACGGAAGGGGGTATTAGTGTTGTTGACTATGACGCGGGGTACTACCAACGCAATAGATCGTCTGGGTACTACGGAAATTCGAATACGTATGGTCGTCATGACACTACTCCATACAGCGGAGGTTACCATGTGGGTCAACCAAGACCGTATAGTACTTCCAGTAACGGCTACGGCGGTACCCAGAAAGGTTCGGTTTATGGAAGCGGATCATCGATTTATGACGAAAATGGCCCTAGTTACGGTAGTTCTGGATACGGACAAACGCAATATAGTAAAACACCTCACACTTATGGATCAGGGTACGGTGTTTCCGGAAACCAGTATGGAAGTAGTCATACAGGATCTGGTACTTATGGGTTAGGCTCGTATGGGGATAGTTCCACTAACAGATACATAAACAACGAACAGAATAGACAATTTACTGGTTCTGGATATCCTTCCGGTTCTGGGTATATGTCAGGTTCTGGGTATACGTCCGGTTCTGGGTATTACGACAATAATTCAAATCGACGGGTGGAAGATCAGTATCAAGTTTATGGCAACTCTGGAAACCAGTATGGTAATAGTCAAGGATCCACACAACACAACTCACAACCATATGGTTCTGATACCTATAGACCGAGTCAACACGCAACTGGACAACAAACACACTACGGAAGTAGTAATTTATACACCGATACACAAAATGGGGGTACTCAACAAAGGTACAACAAAGGATCAACTAGTGGTCAGTACCCAGGATCCTACCCTAGTGCTTCCTACGACAACCAAAATCGTGACGGTTGGAGACAAGACCCATACCAAGGTAATCACCAAAACAGTGGGTTTTACATCACCAGACCTACCAACTGGAACCAAAACCAAAACAGTAGAGTCGACACTAGCCACGATCCTAACTGGAATAGCAACCAAAACACCAGAGTTGATGGCAATTACGATCAAAATTACCTAGGAGCTACAACGCTGCCCTACGATAGCTCCAATATATACTCCCAACGTCCCTTGGAGTCCGGGCAAAGGACAAATCTCGCCGGGTCATACGCTACTTACCCAAAGAGCTACAACAACAATCAAGGAAGTTATTCCAACAGTGATCGCAATTCGTACCAAGGTACCAACGACCATAATAGAGATCGAACGTTTACCAACTACAATCACGGTAATGATCTAGGGGAAGGTAGCTTGTATGGACAGTCGTCAACACAAAACCGAAGAAATGAATTCCAACAGGGTCAAAGAGGTGAAACTGGATATGGTAGATGGTACGGTCAAAACGGATACAGAGACGGCCCCACCCATCAACAAGGGCATCAAGATAGCTGGCAGTCACAACCATCAAACAACCTAGATGAAGAAGGAATCACTTCTAATTACGACCAAGTAGTGAACATAAATCAAAGGAAAACCACTCGCGTTCCTTTCAGAAACTCCTACGAACCCTTTTTCGGAACAACAAGTGTACGACCAGGCATTACAACGAGTCGGTCCAATGACTACGACGATACTTTTGTGCCAGGTCACAGTCGTAAGTATATTCGATCCACAACTCCCAAAGTTCTGGAAAAGATCTGGCCACCACCGTTTCCTTCAACGGATGTTAACGCAGATTATGTTTTTGAATACGATGATAACGAAGAAGTAACTTTGGAAGCGGAAAATACTGTTAAGAACAATCTCCAAAAAAATAATAATTGTGACAAAAGCGAGTTTGTTTGCGCCAATGAAAAATGTATCTCAAAAACGTTAGTGTGTAACGGTATTAAAGACTGTCCTAGCGGAAACGACGAACAAAGGTGCCTCGAGTATGTGTCCAGATTTTCGATAAAGAAAAACCAAAAACTTGCTATACTTGAGAAGGAAAGGTGGGATAATGTGAGTATAGCGGCGTGTGCTTTAATGTGTGTCGAAACGCAGAAATTGCGTTGTAAGTCTTTCAATTACCGAAAAATTGATAATACATGTTTCCTTACGAATACCAATGAAGGTCTAACTGGGGCTCTGATATCTTATTACCCTTTCGATTATTACGAACTTATCAGTGAGAAGATTAACTGCACTGGTATGTATATATGTAACAACAAGAAATGTATCGATAGAAAGAAGATCTGCGATGGTCACGACGATTGTGGTGACCGAATGGATGAGAAAGGGTGCAAAGCACAAGATTTTAATTACAGCATTCGGCTAACAGGATCTAGAAACAAAAATGAAGGTCTGATCGAAGTTAGTGCTTTCGGTAAAACGGGTTACGTCTGTGATGACAAATTTGGCTTGAGAGACGCACATGTTGTTTGCAAGGAGTTAGGTTTTCATTTGGGGGCTGTAGAAGTCAAAGGAAATTCTTTCTTCGCCAAAGAATTTACACCAGAAAAAACTTTCTACATGATGGACGACGTTACATGTTCTGGAAACGAAACAAAGTTGCTGGATTGTGATTTTAGTGGTTGGGGAGTGCACAACTGTTTGGCACAAGAGGTATAAGTAAAATTAAAACAAACAAGTCAATTTTAATTTTATTAAATGTACAGATCGCTGGAGTCGTTTGTAAAACACCAACCGAAAAATGCGCAAGTGACTACTGGCAGTGTGACACGGGAAGAGATTGCCTCCCTTTAGCTTTTGTCTGCGATGGGTTGCTCGATTGTCCGGATGGTTCAGACGAAGGTACTCAACACTGTGACGTATGTAATGATTTCAGGTTCAATGAAAAAATAAAAAAGTGCAATCATTGTAGGCACCTACACAAGTTAGGTTAGTAAATGGAACCAACCAGCGACAAGGGAGAGTGGAAATTCGGTATCATGGTACTTGGGGTACCATCTGTGATGACGATTTTAACGAAGATGCAGCGAAAGTTGTTTGTCAACAACTTGGTTTTAAAGGCGCTGCAGTTGTGAAAAAAGACGCTTACTTCGGTGCCGGTAGGAAATAGACAAATTTCTAGCATCGATTTGCATGTATAATTCATTTCACTACTTCCATACTTGCATTACATTTACGTTGATTTTTCTGTTTCGTTTGACCCGACCTATACAGTAGCGTAACCGTTTTTCACCTGGTTTTAATTATTCATGTTTAGGACTATTCTGTAAGAAAATAGATTAGGTCAAATGCAAAACGCCCAAAAACAACAAAAGAATAAGGTTAAATAGATCAAGCAACTAATTTCTTAACTTTGTAATCTAGGTGTTGGCCCTATTTGGCTGGATCAAGTATTTTGCGCTGGAAATGAAACAAGCATAGAAAATTGCAGCCACTGGAACTGGGCAGAACACAACTGTGACCACAACGAAGACGTCGGCGTTATTTGCAGTAACACTTACGAGTATGTCGAACGACATTCTCAGGCCCTGCCGGCGCGGATGCCACAAGACTATCCGGAAAGGTAACGAAAAAATGTTTCCTTCCAGCGAAAGAAAAGTTGCGTTTTTGAACTTGAATTGGATTTGAAATTTAAATTAATTGCCAGGTTTCAGTCGGAGAAAGTGACCCGATCGAGGTGCCTAATCAACATAATGCGTTGTTAAGTGTACCATGTTTCGTTTTGCCGGTCTAAAAAAAAATTACGGCTCTCCTAATTCGTGGTCACGAAACTTGTACATATTCACAATCTTTTTTTCTATAGTTGGTCTAGAAAGTGCTTATGCGTTCTGGTTTAGAAGGCATAATTTGCGTTTTTTTGATGGGCCGGTACGACCGTTACTTTATGGTCGCCTTCAGTGACAACAGTCTCAAAATACTTCGCACTAGTAGAAAGTAGGATACCTAATTAAATTTATTTTTTATTTTTTAATTGTAGCTAAAATAAACACAACATCATTAGGGTTATTTGGACTGCAAAGTTTGTACACAGGTTTTTCTCTCTGAGATCCTTATCAATCTTATTATTTAAAAAATGTAACCTACATTTCGATCTCTTCTAGTGGCGATTTATGCCATCTTCCAGATACCCCAAAAGTAATTAAGGTGAAAGCAATTTGCAAAGAATTTATATAAATAATAGTGGTTTATCTTTACTGTTTTTTTTTCTTCAAAAAACTTTCGCAAGACACTAAGTAAACATTCTCTCAATGAGTAAAAATATTAGTAAAATATAATAGAATGTTTTTACATAAATATATAAAAATTACAAAAGTTATTACGTCGTTTCAAACACTATAAAGTTGTATTGTAATAGGATAGCTTTTAGGGTACGAAAAAGTAGGTTCTCCGTTTACATCTATGTGTCGTGTTTAAAATGTGCAAAATAATATGTTTCGGCACCTGTCATTTATTCATTTACGTATTTTTAAATGTAATTTTTCGAAAAATATCCATAATTTTATATTTTAACTTGGAAACTACAAACTATTTTTATTTTTTGACATACACATTATAGGGGTTATCGTAAAAAAGTAAAATTTCTAACAACAAATTTTACAGTTTGTTTTAAAACCAATAAAATGACAATTTTTTAAATTTTGGCAAAATATTAGTAAAAATTTAATGATTAGAGAACAACAATTAGAATTTAATTATTCATCCTCTTCAGAAGGTTAATGACGTCAGGGCAAAAATTTACAAAATGAAATAAATGTTTATATAGGTGTCCCAGTTAAAACTCTACGTCTTATATCTTGAGAACGCTATTGTTTTTAGTTGGAAGGGAAAATCTTAATTTAGTACAATTGTGGTTTATGAATCCATCTTGATTATTTTACCCTAGACATTCAGAAAAATCAAACAACACTTTACAATTTCATTTTGAGACTGTAAAACCAAATTCTTGCACACCGTTTAAAGTCATTGCAGCCATGATTAATTGTCAATCAAAATTTATCCGTTCATCGTCTCCCAGAAAACTATTTCTAAACTTGTGGCTTATGAATCCGTGTTGAGTTTTCACCCTAGACACCCAGATATTTGAAAAAAAAATCAAATTTCTATATCAACATTTTGTATCCTCTTTGAAATGTGCAAAATATTATGACTCTAGAATTCTGGGTCATCAGAGCACTTATAGTTTTCAAAATCACTTATACAGGGTGACTCAAAAAATTAATGAATGAGGCATATTAGTTTATTAATTAAATCAAGAACGACTCACTCCATTTTCCCGAAAATTTGGAAATGCAATGCTGATATTATCTTATAAGGGTTATCTATAAAAAAATAAAATTCACAAAATTAAATCTTATAATTTTTCGAAAAATCTGGATTTATTTACCTCCATTTTTTTTTTATTTTTCTTTCATTTTCGTTTCTTCGATTTTTCGATATTATAATTTTTCTATTTTCGATTTTTCAGTTTCTCACTTTTTAATTTTTCAATTTTTTGTTTCCTCAATTTTTCAAGTTCTTGATCTTTATTTTTCATTTTTCCGACTTTCCAATTTTCATTTTTTCGATTTCATATCACAATGTTTCGTTTTAAATTTTCTTTTCATGTGTTTTAAAGTTGTGATAAGCATAACAAATTTTTAATCAAAATATATTTGCCTATCCCCTCCAAAAGCGTGATGACGTCAGTTCAAAATTTATCATTCCATTCATATTTTTTGGATTCGCTTACACAGGGTGACAAAAAAATTAATGAATGCGTGAATTTATTTTATTGATTTAATCAGGAACTACAAAACCAAATGCTTTGAAATTTTGGAGATGTTTTAAAGTTGTCATAAGCATTCAATTTTTGTTTCCTCAATTTTGCAAGTTTTCGATTGTGTATCACAATTTTTCGTTAAACATTTTCTTTATTTTTTCAATATTTCTTTTGATTTTATAATTTTTTTGGGAGCTATCTCATTTGCCAAAATTAGTCTTATCTTAGCATGTGCTAGCCCCGCCCACCCACCCTCTCTTTTCTTACAACGAATGTTATTTGCTAAAATCAGTCTTATCTTAGTAAGTACTAACAAAAAAAAATAAAAAATTGAACAGCGTCGAAAATTGAAAAATCCAAAAATTGAATAATTAAATATTGAAAACTCCTGATAATCTTTCTTCAGAACCAATAAGACTGAATTATTAAAACGGAATAGGGGTGGGTGGGAGGTACCACTTTTTACTTTCTTTTAAATCGTAGATGCTATTGCTTGTCAAACAGAATTCAATTCCGATTTTACAGTAAATAAAATAAGTCAGTGAAATAGAGAAAAGAGGTGGGCGGAGCTGAGTTGAGCTTTTTTTTTAAGAGTCTTATAGGCAAGCCCCGCCCACTGATCCCCTCATCATTCCAGTAACTACTCTTAATATTGTTCAGTCTTTCCTTGCCAAGTATTAATCCGGCCCACCCGCCCTCTCTGTTTTTAGAGAGTATGTCACTTGCCAAAATTAGTCTCATTTTAGCATGTACTAGCCCCGCCCACCCACCTTCTATTTTCTTAGAGGGAATGTCATTTGCTAAAATTAGTTTTATCTTAGCAAGTACTAACAAAATTGTGTGTTTTAAAGTTATGATAAGCATAATAAACTTTTTATCCCCTCCAAAAAATTGATGACGTCAGCTCAAAATTTTACCGAATAAATCCTATCAAAAAAGTCCAAAATATGATGCGTGATTTATCATTCCAGTCAAATTTTTTGGATTTGCTTATACAGGGCGACTCAAAAAAATTAATGAATTAATCTATTGTTATTGATCAAATTAAGAAAGAGCCACACCATTTTCTCTCTTTATAACAATAAAATAATGATAATATTGATAAGGTAAGAATTATAATAATAACATTCAGAATATTTTGTTCAATGGAGGCTTATGAATAATTTTAATCATCCCTTTTGGGGCGATAAACTCATTCAAATCAAACAAATGTCTACGTGACATTCTTCCGATGTAATGTATTCCCGTTGACAATGTGCTGTAAATAAATTGTTGACACATATGGTCTCGAGATTATGCAAAATGCAAAATTGACCAATTTCGGTCGTTCCACTAATTTATGACTTGCAGCCAGGCAGCCACCTGCACAAAGAGCTACCGCCTGAGTTTTGTTTGCAGTATCGTTTCTTATTCTTATTTTGAAATTATTGCATTTGCATTCGTATTTTTTCGATTTGCTTATACAGGGTGATGCAAAAAAATAATGACTCAATTTATTTTATTGATTAACTGTTATTATTACACTGTAGTTATACATGTGCTTTATAGCGCATTCACATTTTTCCATTGTTGGTACGATACAACACAATGCACTGGATGTAATAAACAAAACTAAAGTATGATTCATGAATGAATGCATAAAAAAGTCTCTCTAGTTAACTTTACAAGAATAATGTATACTGGGTTAATTGCTTATTGGCGGAGTGACCGTCGCGCCCAAACATATGTATAAACAATTCGTCTAAATAAAAACAAGCATCAGTGGTGGAACATGGATTAAGGTAACATTTTAACTTGAATATTGTTGACCAAAACAAATCACTGAATGATGAACAAAAATGTGGTCTTGGGTTACTTATACACAACTTCCCTCGCCGTTGAAACACAGTCGAACAAATACAAAGTTTAGCTTTGTCTAGATAATGCCAACGTTGTTGGCGAAACGCGTCGACAAATATTTTGTATGTTAAATTTACCCAATCTTCCTATCAGTGACATGACATCTTTTCATATGTTTAAGATGTGAACATTACTGGTTCAGTATAGTTATTATTTAATATTGTATGTAATATATATTTTTGTCTAGACTTTTTCTTTGCCGAACACAACGATACGCCACTGTTAAAATGCCACTTGCAAATTATCAGGAGCTAGACCAGTCATTTCCGTTTAATTGGTAACTCGCCATATCATTAGAAATTCATTAATGTATAAAAAAACAAAAACAAAAACACAAACTTAAACCAAAAAAATACAATATCGATTTTTACCAGATTTTTTTCCATACAGGTGTGGATATCGCAAAGACAACATTTTCAACCGAAACGACGACGTCCACTTTCGGGTGGTGAAAGGTTCGGTTGCCAAATCGGGTGACTACCCTTGGCAAGTATAAACATACCCCAAGAACCTACGACTAGAAATAAACAATTCGTCTTCCAGGCTGCCATCAGAGTCAAGGGCAAAACTAGCACCAGCCACTGGTGTGGCGCTGTAATAATTTCCCAAAAATTCGTTTTAACGGCAGCCCACTGTTTAATCGGCTATTCCAAAGGAGCTTATGTGATTGTAGCCGGTGATTACAACGTTGATGAGCACGAAGGCACGGAACAAGAAGCCCGAATCGAGGATTATTACCTCCACGAAAATTTCCGACAAGGTCATAAAATGAACAACGATATAGCCTTAGTTAAACTGAAGGGACGCGGCTTCCAGCTGAACGATGATGTTCAAGCGATTTGTTTGCCGGATTCAGATACGAATTACGACGCTGAATTAAATTGTACTATTTCGGGTTTCGGGTCTATAGAAAGTGGAAAATCGGGTGGGTAGTTCATGCGCGTCTTTTCCTGTGTTTTGTATAATGGATAAGTTTTAGCATTTTCTCACAATTTGAGAGCTGGATGGGTGCCTCTTCAGAAACGGGAAATCTGTGCTATGCCACACGTCTATGGTGAGGCGTTAACAGAGGGAATGATTTGTGCCGGGTCTTTGGATGAAGGAATAGACTCTTGTGACGGAGACAGTGGAGGACCTCTGGCTTGTCTCGATACAGGTATGACATGAAACGTGATACTAAATGCTACTAAACGATACTTTGCAGGAGTTTTTACTCTCTACGGGATCACATCCTGGGGCCAACACTGTGGCTACGCCAATAAACCTGGAGTTTATGTCAAAGTGGCACATTACAAAAAGTGGATCGACGATAATTTTAAAAAGTATTCTTTTGATTAAACGTGCTAAACTTTTAAATAAACATCATCACGCAATAATGTTATGTAGAAAGTAAATAACATACTTATAAGATGGTTTATTTTTAATAAATATAATTTGGTCTACTTCTTGTTTATTCTGTCTGCAGTTTTTTAAATGGGACTATTAAAACTTGTGTACACTTTAATTAATAAGGCGATGTACAAATGGTGAAAACAACGAATAAAAAAGTGCAAGTGACGCTTAACTAATGCGTACGTTTACTGTATTTTAAACAGTTGACACAATAATTTCAACCACCACAAAAAAATGAATAACAATGTGTCACGTGGGTTAACAATACTAGTTCCGTGCTGTTGAAGGAATGGAATAGTACACAATTATATTTAAAGTAATAAAGTTTTTTCTTCTGTCAAGCTAATTTTACTAAATCATCTGTTTAATTTTCTTGTACACGTGCAGAAATTATGAATACTATTCTTAGCGGTTAGAACATAACTTGATAATAATACAACTTTGTTCTGTTTTTGGAAGTAGCAAAAGATACGTATTTCCTTCAGAAAAATGGTGGCGTATTTCAAAAGTTTATAGTCGGCTTATAGTTTTAATTTCATGTATACAGGATGGTAAAAAAGGTATCCTTTACTTTTATTTTTGACTATACGTGTTATTCTACAAAAATATAACATTTTATAAAATTATTACATACATATTTATAAAACGAAACGCCCTGAAGTACATGGATTAATTTTTTATTGGGATGAAGATGTAGTAGTTAAAAATAGATGTACTGAGATGCTACTAATCGAAGGATAACTGTTTTAACTGCGAAAAATTCAACACATTGTCAAAATGAAATTCAGAATTAGATAGTTATTGACTATAACTAACTCTTTGGGAATTCACCTGACGTTCTTTCTGTACTCTAAATAATGAAAATGTAACTAAAAACAGGTGTGCGGAGATGCTAAAATGAAATTAATTAAAGGATGATTATTTCAACTTCGAGAGGCTAATCACCGCCAGAATTAATTTTTGGAATTACATATATAGTCACTGACTGTAATTCTGGAATTCTTTGGAAATACCTACAACTGAAATTCTTTCTAAATTTGAAATAATGAATATGTACTTAAAAGTAGATGCGCCGAGATGCTGTTAATCGAAGGACGACTGCTTTAATCACGAACAACTAAACATATTCTCAAAATTAATTTCGGAATCACATATTTATTCACTGTAATTTTAGAATTCTTTGGAAATACACCTAAAATTCTTTCTAAAGTCTAAATAATGAAGGTGTAGCTAAAATGAGGTATGCTGAGATGCTAAAATGAAATTAATTTAAGGATGACTTTTAATTTCGAGTCTAATCACCGCCAGAATTAATTTCAGAAATACATAGTTGCTCACTGTAATTCTGGAATTCTTTGGAAATACACCTGAAATTCTTTCTGAATTCGAAATAATGAAGACATAGTTAAAAGTAGTTGTGCTGAGATGCTATTAGTCAAAAGGTAACTGTTAAAATTTTAAGAGACTAAACACTGTTAGAATTGGTTTGGGAATTACGTAGTGGGTTAACTGGAATTTCTGGAATTCTTGGAAATACACTACAAATTGTTGAAAATTTTACACGTAGTACTGAAATATAGTAGATTTTTTCTGAACTGTGAAAATGTGATCAAAAATAGATACACCACAATGGGATTAACAGCAGGACAACAGCTTATTTTTTGGAATTACATAGTTATTAAGTGTAACTCTGTAATTTTTTGGAAATACACCTGAAATTCTTTCTGAATTCGAAATAATCAAGATGTAGTTAAAAGTAATTATGCTGAGATGCTATTATTCAAAAGATGGTTGTTTTGATTTCGAGAGACTAAACACTGTTAGAATTAATTTTAGATTTACGTAGTAGTTGCTTCACTGTAATTTCTGGAATCCTTGGAAATATATTCAAAATTCTTGAAAATTTTACACGTTGTACTGAAATATAGTAGCTCTTCTCTAAACCATGAAAATGCAGTCAAAAATAGGTACACTACAATGGAATTAACACCAGGACAACAACGATTTTTTTTTGGAATTACATAGTTCTTAAGTGTAATTCTGGAATTCTTTGGAAATACACCTGAAATTCTTTCTGAATTCGAAATAATAAAGATGTAGTTAAAAGTAGTTGTGCTAAGATACTATTAGATAAAAAATGACTATTTTAATTTCGAGAGACTTAGCACTGTTAATTAATTTTGGAATTACGTAGTTGCTTCAATGTAATTTTTGGAATTCTGGGAAATATACTAAAAATTCTTGAAAATTTTACACGTCGTATTGAAATATAGTAGATTTTTTCTGAACTATGAAAATGTAGTCAAAAATAGGTGCACTACAATGGGATTAACAGCAGGAAAACAGCGATTTTTCTTGGAATTATAAAGTCGTACTGAAATATAGTAATTTTTTTCTGAAATATGAAAATGTAGTCAAAAACAGGTGCACTACAATGAAATTAACAGCAGGACAACAGCAGTTTTTTTTTTGGAATTACATAGTTCTTATTCTTAAGTGTAATTCTGGAATTCTTTGGAAATACATCTGAAATTCTCTCTAAATTCGAAATAATGAAGATGTAGTTAAAAGTAGTTGTGCTGAGGTGCTATTATTCAAAGGATGGCTGATTTAATTTCGAGAGACTAAACAGTGTTAGAATTAATTTTGGAATTACGTAGTTGCTTCACTGTAATTTCTGGAATTCTGAGAAATACACAAAATTCCTCAAAATTTTACACGTAGTACTGCAATATACTAGATTTTTTCTGAACTATGAAAATATAGTGAAAAATAGGTGCACTACAATGAGATTAACAGCAGGACAACAGCGATTTTTTTTTTGAATTACATAGTTCTTAAGTGTAATTCTGGAATTCTTTGGAAATACATTTGAAATGCTCTCTGAATTCCAAATAATGAAGATGTAGTTAAAAGTAGTTGTGCTGAGATGCTATTATTCAAAAGGTGGCTGTTTTAATTTCGAGAGACTAAACACTGTTAGAATTAATTTTAGAATTACGAAGTTGCTTCACTGTAATTTCTGCAATTCTTAGAAATACATTCAAAATTCTTGAAAATTTTACACGTAGTACTGAAATATAGTAAATTTTTTCTGAACTATGAAAATGTAGTCAAAATTAAGTGCACTACGATGAAATAACAGCAGGACAGCAGCCATTTTTTTTTTTTTGAGTTACATAGTTCTAAAGAGTAATTCTCGAATTCGTTGGAAATACACCTCAAATTCTCTCTGAATTCGAAATAATGAAGATTTAGTTAAAACTAGTGGTGCTGAGATGATATTAGTCAAAAGATGGCTGTTTTAATTTCGAGAGACTAAACACAGTTAGAATTAATTTTGGAATTCTGGAGTTGCTTCACTATAATTTCTGGAATTCTTGGAAATACACTAAAAATTGCTGAAAATTTTACACGTTGTACTGAAATATAGTAGATTTTTTCTGAACTATGAAAATGTGATCAAAAATAGATAAACTACAATGGACTTAACAGCAGGACAACAGCTTCTTTTTTGGAATTACATAGTACTTAAGTGTAATTCTGGAATTCTTTGGAAATACATTTGAAATGCTCTCTGAATTCCAAATAATGAAGATTTAGTTAAAACTAGTGGTGCTGAGATGATATTAGTCAAAAGATGGCTGTTTTAATTTCGAGAGACTAAACACAGTTAGAATTAATTTTGGAATTCTGGAGTTGCTTCACTATAATTTCTGGAATTCTTGGAAATACACTAAAAATTGCTGAAAATTTTACACGTTGTACTGAAATATAGTAGATTTTTTCTGAACTATGAAAATGTGATCAAAAATAGATAAACTACAATGGGCTTAACAGCAGGACAACAGCTTCTTTTTTGGAATTACATAGTACTTAAGTGTAATTCTGGAATTCTTTGGAAATACATTTGAAATGCTCTCTGAATTCCAAATAATGAAGATGTAGTTAAAAGTAGTTGTGCTGAGATGCTATTATTCAAAAGGTGGCTGTTTTAATTTCGAGAAACTAAACACTGTTAGAATTAATTTTAGAATTACGTAGTTGCTTCACTGTAATTTCTAGAATTCTTAGAAAGACATTCAAAATTCTTGAAAATTTTACACGTAGTACTGAAATATAGATTTTTTCTGAACTATGAAAATATAGTGAAAAATAGGTGCACTACAATGAGATTAACACCAGGACAACAGCGATTTTTTTTTTAATTACATAGTTCTTAAGTGTAATTCTGGAATTCTTTGGAAATACATTTGAAATGCTCTCTGAATTCCAAATAATGAAGATGTAGTTAAAAGTAGTTGTGCTGAGATGCTATTATTCAAAAGGTGGCTGTTTTAATTTCGAGAGACTAAACACTGTTAGATTTAATTTTGGAATTACGTAGTTGCTTCACTGTAATTTCTAGAATTCTTAGAAAGACATTCAAAATTCTTGAAAATTTTACACGTAGTACTGAAATATAGATTTTTTCTGAACTATGAAAATATAGTGAAAAATAGGTGCACTACAATGAGATTAACACCAGGACAACAGCGATTTTTTTTTTAATTACATAGTTCTTAAGTGTAATTCTGGAATTCTTTGGAAATACATTTGAAATGCTCTCTGAATTCCAAATAATGAAGATGTAGTTAAAAGTAGTTGTGCTGAGATGCTATTATTCAAAAGGTGGCTGTTTTAATTTCGAGAGACTAAACACTGTTAGATTTAATTTTGGAATTACGGAGTTGCTTCACTGTAATTTCTGGAATTCTTGGAAATACACTAAAAATTCTTGAAAATTTTACACGTAGTACTGAAATATAGTAGATATTTTCTGAAATGAAATTGTAGCCAAAAAAAGGTGCACTACAATGAGATTAACAGCAGGATGGCAGCGATTCTTTTTTTTTTAAATTACGTAGTTATTGACTGTATTTTTCATTGTGGGGGATTGGGGGGGGGGAGGGGTTGGACCGCAAAGCAGGAATTTTTTTGGCACCACACTTATTTTTAATGAGTGCAGTGAAGACACATTTAATTAATTTGTAATGCTATAAAAGGGTAGTTATTTAAACACAATGAAATCTCGTTTATTAATGCTTTTTCAAATCAGACATGTGTAAAACTTTGACTACTCCATAAACACGTGTAATTGTTATTTTTATTGTTTGTAAATTCATAGTTTTGTTATTTTTCTGGATGTTTTTACTTAAGTTATTATATTATCCACACTTCATATTTCGCAAGACAACATAACGCTGAAATCTGAGGAAAGCTCGATCGCCTTGATCAGAGCGATCACTCTCTTAACAGTGACCTATTATTTTACTCCCGATACAATCTTTGGTTTTTGTTCATATTTCAATTTGCCGCCAAAAAATAACAAAATTGATGACATTATTCTATTTTTTTTTTTTAATATCGCTTAAAAATTAAAACAAAATTTGTAAAAATAAATAAAAATAACCATTAACTAAAATGTTTTCGCCCCGCAATAAAAAATGCGACCTATGGCGTAATTACTGTTACAATTTGGATCTTAAACCGGAGGACAATTCTAAAGTTTTACGTATCTCTGTTACGAGGAAATAATTTCTTAATAAAAGAAAACGCTTTGTCAATGCGGCAAATGCGATTCGGTTCAACAACAGCCATCATTAAGGTGTTAAATGAGAAAGATAAATTCTGTTCAGTGTCCTGTTGAACACAAAGGATGTAAAATTAAAACATAGTAAAATAAAAGACTTATATTATAACACAGACATAAAAAATAAAATTTATTATTATTATTAGATCAATGATAAAAATTACAAATCATATTAATAAAATAAAATTAATTTGGTGCACATAGGCTATCGTTCATGGCTATCGCGGCTATAATTCAAACAGTTAGTAATAAAAGTTGCCCTCTTACGTTAATTCCTGAATCTTACTGTCACATTTTTCGTTCCTAATAGTTGCTTATTATTTACTGCTAGCATTTAATACACCAATAAGGTAGTGACAATTTTGTGCACTTAGTAAGCATCTTTTTATTAACGAAATGATCTGTGGCTATATTTTTCTCATTGGATACCTCAACTGGCCTTCGATCACATTCTAAAACATCAACAAAAAAAATTGTTTGTTAGAACTATTTTAATGACCATCGTTTAAACCATAAAATATTACAATGTTATTTAACAAAAAAAAAAAACACTTCCATGTTAGTTAAGTATAAAGAATCACATATACAAATGCAATAAATTCTTTTGACATATTTTATTTGAATCACAACGTCTGGCAGGTGTTAATATTTAAGCGAATGTAATTGTTGTAATCAAATTTTGTATTGTGTCCCCACTTTTCCCGGTTGGTGCGTTAATGTGGGCCGAGCACATGCGATCCATCCCTGCACCAGAGAAGCATTCAATAAAATCACCAGCGGTACCTGCATTTAGTTATTAAGCTGCCCAATCTAGACGAGTAAACTCTATCGCGGTACCATCAAAGGAATTCTTCTCACATACAAGTGCGTGTTTAAATCTAGAGTGGTGGTGTCTAAAGTGTCACAGCTTTCCAAAAGCAAACTGAAAAATGATTACGGAAATCGGTAAGTCAGTACCAACGATAAACAACGGCATTCAATTTTTAAGATTTCGGCGCGAATACATTTATGGTTTATATTTGATCGGGTACTATTGTTATTCTCTCAATGTCACAGCCGATTCTCATTTTGTCAACGCACAGAGAAAGTTACACAAAAAGTCTATTGGTATGCTACGAAGAAATGATCGGCAATAACTTACATCACATTTACATAAGATTACTGTTTAGTTCAAGGTACATGACTTTTTCTTCTTCAACAGAGACCTTCAATTTGACGCCGATCCAGAAATTTTATTCTGGATCCAGCATCTTCATCACTGGAGGTACGGGGTTCCTAGGTACTATTCTCATCGAGAAGCTACTTCGATGCTGCAGCGATCTGTCTACAATTTACATTCTTGCACGTAATAAGAAAGGGAAAAACCTACAGAGTCGCATCGATGATTTGTTCGAAGGTCCTGTTTTCGATAGACTCAAAAGAGAATTTCCCAAGTTCCGGCATAAGGTCGTTGGAATCGGAGGTGACTGCAGTTTACCCAACTTAGGAATCAACTTACAAGATCGACAAATGCTTATCAATGAGGTAAGAATGTCGAAATTTTATCACAAATTTAACAGTCATATGAATTTTATTGGAATTAGAAGGTAATTACTAATTACAATAGTTAGCCACATATTTGTATTTTTTGTCGAGAGAAAGAGAGGTCGTATTTAGAATTCGCGTGAAAGAAAAAAATATTCTACTTTTTTCGTGTTCGAGCCTAAATAGTACACCGTCATATGCAACTTTCTTCTTGTCGTTGAGTATTACCGGAACCAGCAACGAAACAACTTTCTTCGCTTTTTTTAGTAGATGAAAATGTTTGTCTAGTAATTATAAATCATTTCAAGATTTTTATGCACTTCACTTTCATTACTCCAATAAATACAAATTAAGTTAAAAGTGTCAGCATAAATAAACATGCGGCACTCCATTCAAAGTTCAAACAATGCCACTTCCTGCGAATTAAAAGGAATCGTTAATTTAGAATCAATTAATACTACAGAATCCGTTCCATGCGTTAAAAGATGAAATACCTTAAAATTCTCGAATATGTTAACGGAAGGATATAAAGGACACTCGATTCCAAGAAACAAAATATTTATTCGTTTTGTGGGTACAGGTCTTGAATGTGTTAATATTTACAAGAGAACACTACGCTTTTGTTAAAATTCATTACACATTCTAAAATTTACTTTTCATATTTATTATAAATTTAACGATCACGTTCGTTTTTAATGATGTGCGAACATTCAACTCGAATTAAGAGAAGAAGAAAAAACGCCCTACAAAAAATCACTTCGGTAACATCATGTTGTAATTATTTACATACTTGATATTGGGATTAAAAGCAGTCATTTAAAAATTAGTGAAACTCACAAAAATGTTAATAAATTTTCTAATCGATGCTTTTTTACGTTGTTTATGTATTTGTTACGTTATTAACTGCAGCTACGATTTCACCTGGTTTTTTATGGAACAGTTTTTGTTGCATTTTTAAATTGCACTCTCTACTCTGACGCTACTAGTGTTTGCTAATGAATTTCCAGTTGTAGGATTTTATATATCAGGCGAGCAACATAATTTCTAATCGAATCATCCTTAGAAAAGATTTAGCATGTCGGTGATTAAACCATAGTAATAAATGTCAAAAAAAAAACAAATGGGTAAGCAAAAATTCTGCGTCATTACCTGTCTTACATATCCAATACTTCTAGAGTTCTCTTGCAAAAATAAGCATAGTCAACGATGTTGTTGACAAATTCTTTCCGGAATTCATCCAAGCCTCTTGAATAAAGTACTCCCACACACCGTTTACCTTCCGTTCATTTTGAAAATACGACTCAATCATAAACACTTACGGCTGTATGAAAAATTGAATAAATACGTAGATACGCGAATAATTTAAAGAGAAAATATTTCACTACAGTCTTCAGATTTTGTATTTTTACTTCCCGAGCGTAAAGTGGGATTTAAAAGCTTGCTGTTGACGTTGAAACTCCCATTGCAGTTGCTGCTACCGCTGACGTTGCTTTTAGAGCTGAAAATTGTTATTTATAAACTCCGTTGCCAAGTTGCCGTTGATAGTAACTTTGATGTTCAATTTTTGCCGTATTTAAAGAGGTTGTAGAAGAAAAGTGGAGGATTTAGTTGATTACTACAAAAATTTACCATTTGAGACGTGTTTTGTCTTGTTGCCGAAATAAGTCTACACATATTAAGAAAAAAAGGCAAAATCTACCCCTGCCCACCCGCCCTATCTCAATTGTGACGATTTTTTTTTATTCGTCGTGAGCAAAGAAGGCGGAGCAAAATCCTTATTTTTCTACGAGAAATTAAAAACAAGTTTTTGAGTATTGTGTTGTTCAAAGAATACTACGTATATTAAGAAACAAATAAAGTCAAAGATTAGGCCCCACCTATACCCGCCCCGATCTCAATTCTCAATTGTGATGAATTTTTCATTCGTTGTCAGATCGAGGGGCGGGGCTTAATTGCAAGATCCATATTTGTCTACAAGAATTTACCATTTTAAATATGTTTTAAGTTTCTTGTAATGAAAAAATGGCTATATTAAGAATAGAAAAAGGCAAAATATAAGCTCCGCCCACCCGTCCTATCTCGTTTGTTATTATTTTTTTTAATTGTGGAGATTTTTTTTAGAAATGCAAAATTCTTAATATTTCTCTACAAGAAACTACCATGCAACACATTCGTTTGAGTATCGTGCTATTGAAAGAATACTATGTATATTAAGAAAAAATTAAAGCCAAAGATTAAGCCCCACCCGTGCCTGCCCTGATCTAAATAGTAATGAAGTTTTCATTAACTGGCAGATCTAGGGGCGGAGCCTAATTGCAAAATCCATATTTTCCTACAAAAATTTACCATTTCAACGAGTTTTAAGTTTCTAAGAATAAAAAAAAATCATCACGATGGAGATGGGGTGGGTGTATATATTGCCTTTTTTTTCTTAACATATGTAGTATTCTTTGAACAACACGATATTCAAAAACATGTTTTTAATTTCTTCTAAAGAAATAAATATTTTGCAGTATCTCCACCCCATTGGTTCACGCCGAATAAAAAAAATCATCACAATTGAGATAGGGCGGGTGGGCGGGCTTACGTTTTGCCTGTTTGAAAATGTGTAGACTTCTTTTTACAACATGAAACTTAAAACATGTTTAAAATGAAAAATTTGCATAAGGAAATATCGATTTTGCAATTAGACTCCGCCCCATAGTTGTAAAATCCCTAAATTTCCTTGCAAAAATGTTCCATTATAACCATGTTCAAAATTTCTTGTTGTGAAAAGATGGCTATGTATATTAAGAAAAAAGAGGCAAAATATAAGCCCCGCCCACCCGCCCTATCTCAATTCTGATGACTTTTTTATTCGTCGTAAGCCGAGGGGCGATACTTAATTGTAAGATTATTATTTTTCTGGGATAAATTCCCATGTGAAATATGTTTTTAAGTAATCATGTAATTCAAAGAAAACTAAATGTATTAATTAAAAAACAAAAGCAAAAGACAAGCCCCACCCATCTGTCTCGATCTCAGTCGTGATGAATTTTTCATTCGTTGTCAGACCGAGGGGCGGAGAGTAACTGCAAAATCGATATATCTCTGTACAAATTTACGATTTTAAACATATTTTAAGCTTCTGACTATACATAATAAGAAAAATGGCAAAATGTAAGCCTCGCCCAGCCGTTCTATCTCAATTGTGATGATTTTTTTTATTCGTCGTGAGCCAAAAGTGCGGAGCTTAATTGTAAAATCTTTATTTCTCTACAAGAAATAAAAAAAATGTTTTTGAGTATCCTGTTGTTCTAAGAATACTATGTATGTAAAAACAAGCCAAAAATTAAGCCCCACATAGATGGAAATAGATCCATCCCAAGCTCGATTGTGATAAATTTTTCATTCGTTGTCAGACCGAGGGGCTAGGCTCCGCAAAATCGATACTTTCCTACAAAAATTTACCATTTGACACATGTTTTACCTTTCTTGTTGTGAAAAGAAGACTGCACATATTAAGAAAAAAGGGCAAAAAGTAAGCCCTTGTAGTTCTAATATCTAGTCTGTTTTTTAGACAAATAGCAATAAATCTTGTTGATTTAAACGTTGAGAACTATGTTTAACAATGCATAAGTACTGACAGAAAGCTACAGTGTAGAAAATGATGGCAGCTATTTAAAATATGAGGGTTTCGGTGAACAGGTGATTAAATGGCTTAATATTAGTGGACCTCATTATCTCTATCAGAATTTGATTTTCGTGGAATTAGTGCTGTCAACCAAAAATGTCCCCCCTACTTTAGGGGATTTTCCTTCAAGTTGACAGCACTGCACACTACCGCAATTTGATTGGTTGAAAATCCAACGTCAACGACAACCTAAGGCGAAAGATAAAAGTTGGTCATCTCGAACGTCAACCCAACGGCGTGCCAACTTTCAACGGCAACCTCAACGTCAACGGATGATATAAACGACGCATACCTTCGCTGCGTATTTATCTTACAACAGCAATGGTCAATGGTGAACAGCAACATCAGCGACAGGTTTATAAATCGATCTTAAACGAAGGAAGTATTTATTGTAATGGAGTCCGTCGCCCGACTCTCTACTTTTACGTTTTCTCGACCTTTCATGACACTTGCAGTACGAAGAAATAGGTCTCCCGTTTCCGTCTGTCTGTCTGTCTTTTTTTTTAATATTATATCTTCTCGGGGCTCCCAATTGTCTTTGTTTAAGAAGGTGAAACCTTCTTTTTTTCTATTACTGTGACTAATACCTTCTATATTGTTTTTACTCCATAGAGGTTATCAGGAAAATGTAAAATTCCGCAAAATCAAATTTTATAATTTCTCAGAGAAACAGATTTGTTGGAGTGTACTTCAGAAGTGAGAGAAGTTCTGTTGAAATAACTTTCGACCAATTTTTTGAATTGTCTTTTCGATTTTCCAATTTTTCGAAGTTTGGATTTTCTAATTTTTCAATGTTTGGATTTTCCCCTTTTTAGATTTTCCAGTTTTTCGACATTTTAGTTTTGCGATTTTTCAATTTGTCAAATTTTCGAAGCTAGTCTAAAAAAAAATGTTTGAATTGTAGGTGCACCACGAACATATTTTATAAAACGGTTTTCTCCTCCAATCTCGAGTTTTTGTTTCATTTGGTCCTTTAAGTGATTGTAGTAGAGTCGTTGTCGACTGTGCGGTCCAGTAAAACTCGAATTGATTTAAAGCGAGAGTTATCTTTAATATTAGTACGATTTCTTTTTATTTAAAAATGAACTCGTGGACGCCAAATGTCTTTTTTTAATGTGAAACCTTCTCGGGGGCCCCAACTGTCTTTTTGAAAAATGTAAAACCTTCTCGGGGGCGCCAAATGACTTCTGTTAGGTATGTGAAACCTTCTCGGGGGCGCCAAAGGTTTTTTTTTTTAATGTGAAACCTTCTGGGGGGTCCCAACTGTCTTTTTTGAAAATGTAAAATCGTCTCGGGGGCCCCAACTGTTTTTTTTTTAAGAATGTGAAACCTTCTTGGGGGCCTTAAATGTCTTTTTTTTAATAATGTGAAACCTTGTCTGGGGTCTGAATTGTGCTTTTTTAAAGAAGGCAAAACCTTCTCGAAAGCCCCAAGTGTCCTTTTTTAAAAATATTAAAACTTCTCGGGGCTCCCAACTGTCTTTTTTCAAGAAGGTGATACCTCCTTTTTTTCTATTACACTGTGATTAGTACCTTCTATATTGTTTTTACTCCATAGAGGTTATCACAAAAACTAAAATTCCGCAAAATCAAATGTTATAATTTTTCAGAGAAGCAGTATTTGTTGGACTGTACTTCAGAAGCGAGGGAAGTTCTGTCGAAATAACTTTCGACAAATTTTTTTACATTGTAGAAATGATAAAGGTTCACGTTAATACAATTTCAACCCTTATTATTATTATTATCATAGAGAGACTTAAACGAGACAAATCAACGTAAACAACCTAACAAAGGGAAAAATTTGGTATTGAAAATTTATATAATGAAGAAAGAATTGCCAAAAAATGTCGAAAAGTGCCATTTAAATTTGATCAAAATTTTCATCACGTACATTTAAAAATCAAAATCTCATCTTCTATTTATGAAAATTTCGAAACACGGATTCCACCACTCATTTCAGCTTCCAGAATTCTAGACACTACCCAAGAAACATTATCAATTTTTTTGTAGGAAATGTGATAGAGTAAAATCAAATTTTGACAAAAATATTACTTACACTGTATCTCATTTGCGACAAGAAAAGTCGAGAAAAAGTTACATAGTATCCAGAGTTTTGTAAGCTAAAAACAGTGGCGAACACCGCATTCCGAAATTTCCATAAATAACTGAGAAATTGATATTTAAAGATATGTGATGAAAAATTTCACCAAAATGTTAAAAAGAAGATGATGATAAAATGTAAAAAAATGCTCTTGCCTTATACACCGCAGGTTATATTTAAAATCTTACAATAAGTATGTTAATAATGGAGATATTCCATTCTGAAAACGTGTTGAAAATCCCAAGCGCGGGACTCCTCTTAAGGTTATGAATATCATCAACAAACTGTTACTAACTAATTAATTAACCATTGAGACCTTGATAACTTTACTGAATATTTATAGGTATCAATCTTATAAATTATTTTTTTCTGAGGCGACTGTAATAACTAATAATCACTAATTGAAGACATGCTGCTGGAAAATTGCTGCATTTCAGTTGCCAAAAATTCTGCTGATTTTGACAAGACAACACAATTTAGGCTTTAAATAAAACAAAATATGGCAACTTTTCTTGACTACAAGTGGAAGAAATTGGAAAATTGTTCCATAATTTTGTAGTGTATTTTCACAACAATCATGAATTTGTTCTCCATGGGTGTTTTCCAAGCCCATTTTTTTTTCCGGAATGTAAATCTATCTAAAAGTAAATCTTACCAGTTGTACTTTAATTTTGAAAAGACGACTATCCTCTAGCTAGTACGTTTAAGTATCAAGAGTTTTAGTTAATTTCACTTGCTAGTATTTTTATTCTAACTACTGTTTATTTGTTGTACAAATCTGAATCGTCGTTATCATTTACTAATTCTGATTCTGAATCATCAAATTCTTTCAATAAATTTGCTAAAACTACATAGGAGATTGAATTGAAACTTTGCAAAATTCGTATACCAACGAATCTCCTACCAATAGCTGCAATCACTAATGGGTATTAAATAAGGGTTTTACAATCGAATAAACTTTGGCGATTACTATGTCTGATTGATATTAGTATCTTTTCCTTTTGGTTTTGATCATTGGCGTAAGATTATTTGTTCTATTAACTACGTGGTCAATATTATTCATTTGTGTTTAATCAATAAACGACGTTTATTCTAAATCAACTGTTTATTTTACCAGCAAGAAATTTTTAGCAAGGCTAAATTCACAAAGGCAAGAAAAAGACAGCTTAGTGAAATGCATTTATTTGTAAAACAAACTTCCCGTTAATATTAATTGATTCATTATTTACGTTATAAAAATTTATAAATTGTCTATATTATAATAAAAAATTATAAAAGTGTAAGTTGTAACTGAGCCGATATCAATACACAAACAGGGAACAGGTGTTTCCAAATCTTGAACCGTGATTCTGCAATAGCACAAAGCTCATCAAATTTAGTAGATGAAGAACAAATATTTGTCTATAAAATAGTGATAAGTAAGTTTAACATTAGCGATTTTAAGTTGGATATCAATATTATGACAGCGGCTCAGTTATAGTTTTTTTTTTTTTAGTTCTAACTTTATATTTTCCTGTTTTATGTAAGCATGCATAACCATAAAAATTCAATATTTGTTTGTCAGAATTACTTTTTGGAATATTGTAGACAGTCATATTGTATATTTGATGTACCTTCGTTTAAAATATACACACCAAAAACAGGGTTTTGGAATTTCGACATATGAATCAAACGCTATAAGAAATTATATAAAGAAAATTGCCAGAAGCGCTCGCACAAATCAAACTATATTGATGGAGCCAGGTGAAGTTCCTCAAGAATTAAAATTGGCATCTGTCAGTTCCACTTTATAAAGTGAATCTTAATATGAAGATAACAATTCTAGGCATATTTCGGTTTTAAATCTGTTCAGCATGTTTATAAATAAATTGTTTGAAAGAAAGTTGTATTATTTTCAAAGTAATGAGTAATTGTAATGAAATTATTTTTGTGAGTAATTCAATTGCTTTAGAATTACTTCCGCAATTACTTTTAACTCAAAAGTATCGTTTTGTTTTTCTGTACGAATCGTTTACCTGATCTGTTGGAATTATTGTATAGTGGTCCAACTCTGACTTCGTTTTATGGCACTGCAATCTCAATTACTGCAAGTATTATGAACTCTATTGAAAATGTAAATAGCCGTGCCATAAATCATCTTAAAGGTTTACGGGCGCATACGGCCCTGTGTAGTGCAGACAGTTGGTCCCCTGATGGTTTTTGATCCCTGGATTACTTGTGGCAGTGGCCTATTGTGGAACACTTAACTCCTTCACAATAGGATGCAGTCGTAAAAACGAACCAGCATTTGCAGCACTATACCTGGTTCGTCGCCACAAAGAGAAGATTAACCCAATTTGTTAGGAAACTATAATACATAATCTCTTCAAATATCGTTTTAACGACTTTGATATATTTTTCTGTGAATTGCATTTTGCATTTCTCTGAATAATAAGACTGGGATTTGGTTGATATTCATGGAACTCTGTTATTAGTTAAACTAAAATCTATAAATGTCATTTTATGAGTTTGAAATTTGCTTTAAAACTTTACTTAACAAGAAAAAAGAAAAATAACTTTGGCAAATGTTTTGTGTAATTTGTAAAACCCAATTTTTTCCAGTGGTGGATTTGAGAAGTTTTTTACAAAATATAATCTCTTTCCACATGTGTTGATGCACGCGTCACAAACCTAAACACAAATTCTCGACTTGACATAAAGTTACATGAATAAGATAAAAAAAAAAATGGTCGAAGGTTATTTCGTCAAAAGTTCCCACACCCCTAAAGTACGACAATACAACAAATCCGGATGTTTCGAAAAATTATAACATTTAATTTTGGAAAGTTTATTTTTTTTATGATAACCCTTATAAGTTAAAATAAAAACATGTATGTAATGTTATAGTAATGGTAAAGAAGCGTGCTACGCGTATGTTTCAAATGAGTTTTTAAATAACAAATTTCTGTGATAACCTTATCAACATTTTTTAAAACACGTATATCAATAGATGCACTGTAATACTACTAATAGAAGTATTGTATTCCCAAATTTTCGTGAGTCGTTCTTGGTTTAATCAATAACATACACTGCTTCATTCATTAATTTATTTGAGCCACCTTGTATAAGTAATTCTAAAAAGTATGAGTGCATTGATAGACCAAAATATTTTGCATACTTCAGAGAGGACTTATTCGACACAATTTTTAGGTGACGTTGTAAATTTTTTTTATAACCTTAAAACGTTTGCAAGATTTCAAAGCATTCGGTTTTGTAATTGCAAAATTTTCATTTTTTTTCCAAAAATCTGTATATCCATAGTGAAAACTCAACACGGAAAAATGCAGGAGCATCTCATTTTATACCATTAAAAACAAATTTACCGTTGTAAATTTTGGAAATGACGTCATCCCATTGATGGTGGGGATGACTATCCAAATTTTGGTTAGCGTTTTAGCATTCCTAATATACGTACAAAATTTGACAGCAATCGGTCCAGTAGTTTCGGAGATTATCTATTTAATAAAAATGGATACAGACGGTAAACAAAAGACAACAAACAGATGGAAACGGGAGACCTACTTTTTCGTAGACGCAGCGCTAAACATATCATTTCATAAAAAACATACGGATTCAATTCCAAGCAGGACTCAGTTACAAAGTATAAATACTGCTTGTCCAATATCTATTATACATATTACATTGTTCTTTGAGGTAATTTGACCTAATTCATTCAACAATACCGTATCTTAAAACTATTACACGACCTAGGTTCACAAAACATCTGCAAACTAATGTTCAAAGGTAAAAAACTTCACCTTTCCATCTGCTTACACCTATGTATAATTGCATACTTGTGTTTAAACGTCGGGTAGCTAAACGGCCTACAAATGCTCCTTTCTATATAATGATAATACAACGCACTGCAAAATGCCAACTGTTGTTAAACCCAGAACAAGCTTCGATAAAAATCTCTACTATTATATGGAGATCAAACTTCATAATAGACTTCCAAACATATTCACGTCAGTTAAATTTGTTAATTAAGAAATAATGGATACAGCACTACAATTTACAGTTAATGCCGTGTACTTTTGTTTTCATTTGTGCCATTTAATTCTATATAGCACGTAATAAATAATACACTTACATCTGTTTTTTTTTTTCAGGTTTCAATCATATTTCATGCGGCGGCGACTGTCCGATTCGACGAAAAACTCAAAATGGCCACGGCCATCAACATCCGTGGCCCCCATGAAATCTTAAAATTGGCCCGTGAAATGCCTCACTTAAAATCACTAATCCACGTATCAACGGCATTTTCCAATGTGCCTAACAAAATTATAGAGGAGCGGTTTTATCCCAGTCCTGTCGATGGTAATAAGCTGCTGCTCTTGACTGAAACCATGTCTGACAATATTTTGGAACACATTACACCAACGTGAGAGCTAATTTACTGATTTGTAACTAAAATAAGTCAGACAATTTTTAGAATTTTAGATAAGTGGCCAAACACATACACTTATACTAAAGCAGTTGCAGAAGACCTTGTGCGGCAAGAAGCCCAAAACATGCCAGTTGGAGTTTTTAGACCGTCAATAGGTAAGTCTTAATAAAATGTAAAGAAAAGTGTACTTAACTAAAGCAACTGTTACTTAGTTATATCCACGTACCAAGAACCAATAGAAGCTTGGATTAATAACCTTTATGGACCAACAGGAGTTTGTGCTGGAGCCGGAAGTGGCGTATTGAGAACATTACATGCAGACAGCAAAGCTAACGCAAACGTTGTACCTGTAGACATGTGTGTTAATTCTCTAATTGCGCTAGCTTGGGACGTGAATAACGAATTTGAAAAAGCAAAAACTGACAACACCAAGTACGAAATTCCAGTTTATCATTATGAATCTAGCAACGATCAACCTCTGAATTGGGGAAAATTTATGGAAATGTGCCAAACACACGGGGTCCAAAAGCCAAGTATAAAAGCTGTTTGGTATTACTGTTTTGATCTCTACAGCAACTACTTCGTTTATCTTTTGGTTACTATTCTTCTTCATTACTTGCCGGCGATCCTAGTGGACGGCGCCTTGCTCTGCATGGGGAAGTCACCCAAGTAAGATACCATTTCCTTTTCAAAGAGTCTTCATTGTATTATAGTTGGAGATAAATGTCGACAATTGCTTTAGCAAAAGCGTGCAATTAACAAACAGTAGTCGTTTCTCACTTGTATGAAATTTTATACTTATTATCTGTGAAAATTAAATATTAATTCATGTTTGCTCATCACTTGTTTAAAAGGCGAACTGTAATTAATACTAATAAAGTATCGTATTAAATACAATACAGTCTTTAAAAGGCTAAACATATCATTTCAGAGAAGACATACGGATTTAATTCCAAGGATAACTCGACTACAAATTATATTGCTCGCTCGATATTTTTGGATAGTCAGCGAAAATAACATTTGTTATTTTTCTGTTCACACTTCATTATCCAATTTTACTATGTACAATTCCAAACAAAAAAAAATAATGGAAATACTTCTATGATTCCACACAAAAACCTGTGCACCAAATTCCGTCGCCACTGAGGCACAACAAATACCGCAAGCTAGTCAGAGCGTGTTTTTCAGTTAAGATTTGTTTAATTATTTTACTACAGTTATAAAGAAATTAGATTATCCTGCCTAAGATGAGTTCTTTTTGAAGGCATCCTCTATCAACATTTTAATTATAAAACAGAAACAATACCCCATTTACTTTTTTTACGCCATATTTATTTATTTATGTAATAATAAAATAGCACCGTCAACTTCCTAGAAAGCATAAAATAAGTACATTAAATTGTTTAACGTTTTGTGATCACTAAATCAATATTAAATGTCTTAGCAGAAATTTAAAAAAGTCCGTTGTGTATTTTCTTATGTAAACGTGAACTCTGGTTAAGCAAACTTTATTTTATATTCGATAAACCCCACAAGTAAATTCAAAACGTAACTGTATCCTCAAATCACTGATAACGAAGCTAGTCAACTTTTATTTAATATTTTTTTGAGATAAATAAAACTCGGAATAAAATACACAACCCAAGCCTAAATAGGCACAAATGTATAACATTCATTATTTTGTTTCAGGATGCTGCGTATTTACAAAAAAATACATAAATTTACCAGCGTGATTTCGTATTTCACAACGCAAGACTGGATCTTTAAATCTCAGCGAATTCGCCGCATGCTCGAAAAAATGACCGACGAAGATCAGCAGATATTTTTCTGCAATCTGAAAAAACTGGACTGGCATAAGTTTTTTGAGTCCTACTTGTTAGGAATAAGGGTGTATTTAATACAAGATCCTCTGGATACACTTAAAGACGCTCAAGTCAGGTGGAAGAAACTGTATTGGTTACACATGAGTGTTAAAGTTTTAGTAGGATATTTGTTGCTCAGATTCTTTTTGTGGATTATTTCTGCAATATTTATTTCTTAGCGGTAAGCAACGACAATGTTTACTTAGTTTTGTTGAGTTATTAGTGATATTATTTTAATTAATGAACATACACCTACTTTGTATAGATGGATATAGTACAATGTGTAAATTAAATTAAGTATTTATAAACAAAAACGAATAAAATTAACAAAAAATTACGTGCTGTTTTATTATCAAATGTCCTTCTTTGAACGTGTTTATCAAAGGACAAATAACGTCAAGTGTTAATGGAATGTGCAAACTTAACAAACGAAGCAGGATAACAGTAAACGCCGGTACTAAATCTAGCGTTTGAAGCAAGTTCATTTGTAAATGTACAGTTCACAATGATACAGTTCAAGTTGTTTATATTGTTTCACTTATTATTGATATCCACAGCTGTGAATCAGCACTCCATTAAAAAAAGATCTTTACTGTTTCCTCGTGCCACTGTTTTGCAAGTAAGTGTATGTTTTTATGTGTACTAGTGTTACACTTGAACTTTTTCCAGTTTACTTATGGCATATCGGCACCTGCGATCCTTCCCTCTAGATCTATTAATTTAAGTTTATGTGTACAAGCAAATTACGACCTGCCCAACAACCTCACGAATCTCATTCAACCGAAAATTGTTCAAGCAAAGGCCAACAACAACAATTTTGATTTGAGCAGAGAAGCGTTTTATAAATACATAGTTGGCTTTCTGAACAGGTATAAAATACTTCTTATGTTAACACTTAAAGATGTGTATGTTTAAAGCTTTGGTTTAAACGGCGAACAATGTCTCTACCGTTTAATCTGTGAAATATCGGAACATCCCATGCATTTGGAACACAGGGAAAATCTTTTAGAGACGATTGTTCATTTCGTCTTTACGTAAGTTTTCTTAATTTATGAGTTCAGTTTTTTAACTGCAATCTAAACTTTAGGCCTTCTCTAGAACTGTCATTTAACTCGTCTGAACTTTTCACCAGCAAATTGCTTGAAGCTGAAATCTTGGGTAGACATAACGGAGAATGCGGCAAAAATTATTCACGGTGTTTTATATCCCTCGCTGATTTATTCACTGCCAAATATATTATTTAACAAATCCATGTTTTTGTTTTTCTGTATCTAAATCCAAAAGATCTATTTTTATTTTATTATTTCCAAAACAGTGTGATTTTGGTATTAAATATCACAAAGATATTAGAATTGGAAATATCTATAAAAAATATACAGGCTGGTCCACGAGTAATAAAGAGCCTGAATAAATTTGAAACGCAACCCAAAATACATTTTCACCATTATCTTCCAATTTAAAGTTTTTGTCAAAACTTCTAACAAGCGTTAAGGTTACTATGTTTAATGATCCAATTGTAATTATAATAATATCCAAGATGGTGGTGAAAATGTATTTTGGGTTGCCTTTCAAATTTATTCAGGCTCTTTATTACTAGTGGGCCATTCTGTACTTGTATGCATCCTGATCTTAAAATAAGGAAACAGAAGAAATTATAAATCCTATTACAATCAAAATGAAAGAAAACTCGAATGAATTGCGATCGATCCGATTTGATCAATATTCCTTTATGAATTACTGATAATCTTTTAAATTTTCTTAGATTTCCTAACGACTGACTTTAGTCTAAACATGATATTGTCCTCAACAGGCCTAATTATAAAAATCACTTTGTACTGGCGAAATTTTTAGTGCGTGTTATCTTCCAAGTTTGATATTTTCCGCCTTTACTTGATTTTTGCCAAGACTTTTATTCTTCAAGCCTTCTATCACTTCAGTTATTTCGGGGTTTTAGTTTTTGTTACTCCTTCGTGGAATAAATCGGTTTTACGTGCTTATTGCTTCCATCTTTCAAGCATTTTATCCTTACTTTCTATTAATTTACCATCTGCATCTTTGGTGTTGTGGCGTCCCTATTTGAAAATTTAAATTTCGCGCTGAGAAAATAAAAACACCGCGAAACCGCATTTTAAAAATAAAAATATAATTTCAGTAAAGCAGGCAATCCCCCATGTAATAGTGCATTTGGAATAGCGAAAAAATCAACCAGTGGTAGAATTCTCATTCACTTGCTGCTATTTTGCTGTGTTAGTGATAACCAAATGTTTATAAACAGAGAGTGAAAATTAAATCGTATTCGACGCCACAGTCCCCTTTCAACGAGCATAATTAGTGTAAGACCAGTTAATTAACGATTTTCTGATCTGAAACGTTGTTAATTTTTTTATCATGACGTGTTATTTTTGTTTTAGTGTTTGTAAATTTACAGTTCGTGTTGATTTAGGGTAAAGGGGGATTGGAACTTTGGCAGGTAGAAAAAAACGTTCTGGCTTCCTGTGGGCATTTGTTTTATGATGATGTGAAATAATGTTTTAAAACTTAAACAAAATAAATCGCAGTTGACGCCACAGTCTCCCTCCAACGACGGTAATTCGTTATTAGTGATTTTTTAATCTGAAATGTTGTGAAATATCTCCGTCAATTTTTGTTTGATTGTAGATTGAAAGTTCATGTTAAGATTTTTAGCTGTTCATCTAATACAATTTAACAGTCATGTAATTGCTTATATAAACCACATCTCAGGAAATTTACTTACGCAAACGCCATTCATCTGGTCATTACGTTATAACTAAGGTTCTGGATGTTTTTACTGAAGTAACTTTATCCACACTTCAAAACTTTTGACAGAGATTTATATCAGTTCATTTATGGCATTTAAACAAATCTTAAACATTGATTCAGTTTGAGAGAGAGGACCTTGAACAATTTCTCCAGTCAATATAATAATATCGTGACGCGGAATTTAATGTGTGGTTTTTTGTTTTAGCACCACCTGATTTTGATTTTCACTTCCCGAGTGTAAACGAAGGAAGTTTTATAATCGAGTCTGTCGGCCGACTCTCTACTTTTACGTTTTCTCGATCTTTCATGACCCCTAGAGTACGAAGAAATAGATCTCCCGTTTCCGTCTGGCTGTCTGTCCGTCTGGCTACCGGCCTGATTTTTATTAGATAGATAATATTCGAAAGTACTGGGCCGATTACTTCGATAGTACTGAGTTGCTAAAAAATAAATATCCAATCCGATGTAGGAATTTAACTCGTTACTATGGAAATACGCAATTTAACAAGTTTTTACAAGTTTAATAGGAAGCAAAATCAGTCTTGTCTTAGCAAGTACTAACCCCGCCCACCCGCCCTCTATTTTCTCAGAGTGTATGGCGTTTGCCAAAATCAGTTTTATCTGAGCAAGTACTAATCCCGCCTACCCGCCCCTATTTTCTCAGAGAATATGTCATTTGCCAAAATAAGACTTATGAATAGTAAGTACCAGCAAGTACTACTCTCTGAGAAAATAAAGCGCTAGTACTTGAACATAAGCCTTATTTTGCCAAATGACATCCTCTGACAAAATAGGGGGTGGGTGGGCAGGACTAGTACTTACTAAGATAAGACTTATTTCAGCAAATTACATATTCTCTTGGAAAATAGGGGGCGGGTGGGCGGGCCAAGTATTTGTTAACATAAAACTGATTTTCCCCATATTAATTTTGTAAAAACTTATGAAATTTAAAGGTGTTGAATTTCAAATTTCCATAGTCACGAGTTAAATTCCTAGATCTACTCAAAATGTGCAAAATATGATGAGTTTTTACTTGTGATTTATTACTGCATTCATATTTTTACTTCCCGAGCGTAAGCAAATTGAAATCTAGGAGATGCTTTAAATTTATAAGCATGGTAAAATTTTGATCAAAATGTATTTGCTCATCCCCCCCTAAAAATTTGATGACGCCGTCGCAAAATTTTGCTGAAAAAATGCTATCTTAAATGTGTAAAGAATGATAAGTCTATACTTGTGATTTATCACTGCATTAATATTTTTTAGATTTGCTTATGCGGGGTGTCTGAAAAAAATTAATGACTGAGTCAATTAATTTTATTGATTAAATCAAGAATTGCAAAACTGAATACTTTGAAATCTTGTAGACGTATTTGTCTTATATTACAAATACTATACAGGATGTTCATTTTATCTGTTTACGCCTGACAATTTTTGCATAGGCAGCATATTATACACCCCAGAGACGATTTCGTCCAATTTATTTTTTTTTAATAAGCAATCATAGCAATCACAAAAAAATGAGAAAAATGTCAATGCCAAGTAATGACAAAATTGAAAAAATTAATACTCATTTTATTTTAAAATATCCTGCTACAAAAATGTAATACGAAAAAAAACATAATAGGCATGCAGTCGTCACGTTTCCGATAACGAGGAAAATACTGTCGGACCACTTTTTTAAATTTGCTTAAACAGGGTGACTCAAAAAAATTAATGAATGCGTGAATTAATTTTATTGTTTTAATCAGGAACTGCAAAACCGAATCCTTTGAAATCCTGGAAATGTTTTAAACTTATGATAAGCATGGTAAATTTTTGAACAAAATGGATTTGCTCATCCCCCCTAAAAATTGATGACGTCACCTCAAAATATTGCTGAATATATGAATGTGCAACATATGATGACTTGTGATTTTTTTTTAATTTTTTAATATTGTATAATTAATATTTTTTAAATCTGCTTATACAAGTGTCTCAGAAAAATTAATGACAAAAGTAAATATCCAATCAGATTTAGGAATTTAACGCGTTACTTTGGAAATACGCATATTAATAAGTTTTTACAAGTTTAATAGGAGCAAAATCAGTCTTATCTTAGCAAGTGCTAGTCCCGCCCACCCGCAACCATTTTTCTCAGAATTTATGTCATTTGCCAAAATAAGTTTTACCTTTGCAAGTACTAGCCCCGCCCACCCGCCCTCTGTTTTCTCACAGGGTATGGCATTTGCCTAAATCAGCCTTATCTTAGCAAGTACTAACCCTGCCCATCCGCCTAATCCAGTCAAAATAGGCATTTAACTTAGCCAAAATTCGCATAGAGCTGAAAATTGGTATAAACGTTAAATAAACCATTACAAATGAAATGTCAAAAATCCCCTTCGATCCCACTTCTGCAAAAAAAAATTATCAAAGGTCAAAAATTCAGGTTTTTCCCATTTTTCTCTGGAACCGTAAGTTTTATCGTAAACATAGATCAGACAAAAATTGTAGATCATACAATTCTCTACAAAAATTGTTCCAATAGTTTTCTTCGTACGAATCACCATTCTTGAGATATCGCGATTTTAAAAGTTGAAAAAGTCATTTTCTTCATAATATGCACACATTTCCGCACCACCTATGAGGTAATGTACTTGGCGCATTTTTTTTAACGTGGCTTCCCCAGTGGGCATATTCCACGATCTACTAGTGTCATAAAGAAATACAAATTTGATCAGTATACAGATCGCATCCTGTTGGTTGAAAGAATCCTACTATTGCTGATGTTCAGAGTGGAACAGGTTGATTTCTTCTAAATAATGATTTATGATAGATAATTTTCTAATTCTACTTCAACAATTATTTCTTCATCTTCACTTTCTTCCTCTTTTCCATGCAGAATTTCTGTACGCTGTTCTAAGAAAAGAGATGGATCAGTTGTCTCTTGGTCTCTTCATTGATATCATAGGTATTATCATCTGTTGGATTTGATTCAATATTGGAGCAAGTCTGATCCCGACAGTTGATACATACTGGCGAACAAAATAATCCCACTTGTCGACAGCCACAATTCTTACTACAATCCGTCTTGCAGGTACAAAAAATAATATTAAGTAGTTTTTTGGAGCAGACGGGAGTAGGGTTTGAATTGGTTCCAAAAAATTATCTCTTAATTTCCAACCCCATTCTTCTGGGTCCAGCTCATTGCCTAGCCACACTCTTGAACTTGATAATACACACGATACAAGTGTTGAAAGGCGGAAGGAGATGTTGGAGGCAGACCAGACTGCATTGCACTGTTTTATTGTTCCATACAGATTTTTCAAACCTTAAATATCTATACTTGTCTATGGAATCAATTTTTTTTGGAGCACCATACATTACAAGAAGAAAACGAATTCCATTTGTGACGATGTCATGTGGAGAAGAGTCAATCTTTGTAAATACTTCTGCGCAATCAATTAAATCATTACGTTTTTCTAACAATTTAAATACTGCTGTTTTACCTCTCTTAAAAATGGCTGATGTAGTATAGCAACCAGTTATTGCATGCAAAAATAAAATATGAGTTTTACATTTTGGATATGCAATATATTATTGATTGTACTTAAGCGGTCCCAGGATCCAAACAGTAAATAATTTTATCAATTGGAGTCCGTGCTGTCAGTAATATCAACAAATCAACATCTTCACCAATGACGACAGTTGTATTTGGTCTTTTAATTGTTCTATTGCTGTTTCAATTATAAGGACATTAGCATCATTATCAGCTTGTTTTATTGAAATACCAACAGCTGTAAACTCTTCACATGGCATTGAAATGAAGCGAGACGTATACAGGTTGTATATTATGTAGAATATGAATTTTTCAACTTTTAAAATCGCGATATCTCACGAATGGTGATTTGTACGGAAAAAAGTATTGAAACAATTTTTGTAGAGAATTGTATGATCTACAACTTTTGTCTAACCTATTTTAACGATAAAACTTACGGTATCAGAGAAAAATTGGAAAAACCTGAATTTTTGACCTTTGACCATGGATAAAAATTTTTGCAGAAGTAGGATCGAAGGGGATTTTTGACATTTCATTGGTAATGGTTTATTTAACGTCTATACCAGTTTTCAGCTCTATGCGAATTTTGGATAAGTTATGATTTTTTTTGTCTATTTTGACTGGACTACGCCCTTTATTTTCTCAGAGTGTATGGTGTTTGCCAAAATCAGTCTTATTTGAGCAACTACTAACCCCGCCCACCCGCCCCTATTTTCTCAGATGGTATGTCATCTGCCAAAATAAGACTTATCTTAGCGAATACTAGCAAGTACTACCCTCTGAGAAAATAAAGGGCGGGTGGGCGGGGTTAGTACTTGCTGACATAAGTCTTATTTTGACAAATCACATATCCTTCTAGTATTGTTGTGAATTCTTTTACTGATTTTTAGAATCCCTTACTTTTTAAAAATCCTGTTCCTAATCGTCCGTGTTCCGGTCGTAAATACTCAAAAGTTTTCTGCATTCATTGTGTTGTTTCCTCAAATTTGTGTATTGCATAGACTGGTTTCAAGTTTCATTAGTTCGTAATTATTATGATTTATAAAGTCACTAGATATCTAGTGACTTTAATGATTTATTTTGTGCAGCGCCATCTATTCCAAACAGAAGCAAGTACACGTCGAAACGTCATTTTCATATAATTTGTGTACCTCATTGACATTATTTGACCATGATGCGTACAAATTCTTGAATTTAAAGACAAAAATTCAAAACTAAAACACATGGTACTAATGTTAACAATGTTGAACTACACTGTTAAGTGTTAGCTTGGAGTTTGTCTTTGGTTAAAAAACAGTAATTGATCAAACTTATTTCTATCTTCCGCTAGTTGGACAAATTAAAAAATAGTACTTTAAATTTAGCGCCAACTTATTTATTCCAACTTCCAAAAAATAAAAAATCACAACCACTGAAAAATCACCTGGCTCGTTATGTCAACTGTCACCATCAAATAACCCAAAAGTTTTTTTCACCATAAAATCGTCCACTTGTTTGAAAAATGAAAAATTAGCGCACAAGCTTACCAATTAGAAACAGATTAATGAAATTATGGGAACTGTTTACGCAAAAGTGAGTTATTCAAGACCATAAATCACTTCTATTTTTAATATAACCTCACTTCCTAGTCGGAAGATGCCCCAACCAACTTACCCACCTTACCGCCACAAGAACCACACGCCGCCCACCCTTCTCACAAACCCGAATCAAAAGAAATTTTTTTAGACGGAGTCAAGGTAAAAACGCAGTTGGACGCCATAAATCCAAAACGCACCTAACCTCACTTTTGTTGTTCAGGCCCGGGTTGATAAAATACACGTAGACGGCTTAGCCCGAACCAAAGATGACATAATCGAGGACTGCATACGAGACTTGTTCAAGGCTACAGATTTCCAAGATGTGCTTCTGAAGGCGCATCGAGCACGCCTCAAACTAGACGAACTGGGATGTTTTAAAAACATTGCTGTTTTCATAGACACGAGCAAAGGGACAGGCGCAAGCCCTGATGGACTTGAAGTCACTTTTAATGTTACTGAGTACAAAAGAGTAACTGGCGGAGTCACCACGCAAGTGGGTAACAACGAAGGCGCTCTTCTTGTTGGTCTGAGGGCGCCAAATATTTTCGGCCGGGGTGAACGTGTCCAGGTGGAATACAGCCATGGGTCAAAACGTACCACTAATTTTAATATGGCATTTATTAAGCCCATGAGGGGCAAATATAGACCAATGTAATAACAAGCGCTTACTTTGGAGTGTATTTTATGTGATAAATGGGTTCTAGATTCACCACCAGTGTGTTCCAATCTAACGCAGAATGGCCTGTATCAGGTTACAAAGAATTAGATAGAGGTCTGCTTTTTGATTTTGGGTTTCACTCCACATCTTTGGTAATTTTTAGCGGCGATTTCAAACGATGGCTAAGTATTTTTTAAATTTAATAATGTTACAGATTAAGCACAACATTCAATGGGAAGCAACAATCCGCGATTTAGGTGTCTTAAGTAGGAATACGTCCTTTGAAGTAAGAGAACAAGCCGGACTTAGTTTAAAGTCATCACTTAGACACATAATATCGATTGACTTGAGGGATGACCTCATTTTTCCTTCAGCAGGAAGTCTTCTCCAGATAACTTCGGAAGCTGCAGGCTTGGGAGGAGACGTCGGCTATCTAAAAAATGAGTTTTATGTTCAAGGCAATTACTCCATTGCTGAGGACTTTGTAAGTTCCAAAGTGTCTTTTGAAAAAGTCGTCAGTCAAGTCAATTTGTTGGTTATTTTATTTTTCAAAGGTTCTGCAAGGAACTCTTTCTGGGGGCTACATGCGTGGGTTAACAAACGACATGAAAATCGGGATGTCTGATAAATACTATCTGGGCGGGCCTCTGTCTCTAAGAGGCTTTCGGATGAGAGGCGTTGGCCCCCATTCCGATGGTGACGCTTTAGGGTCACTCGCTTTTTGGTCTTCAGGCCTTCATCTTTTCACTCCTTTGCCATTTAGACCAGGCAGAGGAGGCTTTGGAGATTTGTTCAAGACTCATCTTTTCATCACTGCTGGTAATATAGGAGATTTCAAAATAAGTAAGCTGATGACTTAAGTTTATTGTTATATGGATTTTAAACTAAACTTGTATTTAGGTGACCAAAATTTTCTGGAAACACTTGCTGCCAACGTTCGTATATCTTACGGATTGGGAATAGCTCTCCGACTAGGAAACATGGCGAGAGTGGAAGTTAATTATTGTTTCCCTCATACGTTTGAGCGAGGTGATCAAACTCATCCCGGAATTCAATTCGGCATTGGGGTACAGTTTACATAAGCGAGGCGAAGGTAGTGGCGTTAAAAGTGTACTTGATACAAGATAAACACGTTGTGTAACGCAAAGTTATTAATAAAGTTTGTTAATAGTAGTACATACCTCCTGTTTCGTTCCTTTTTACTCCAACTAAATTTAAACGAAACCACCCGCCTTGACCTCACACTAACCATAGTTATTTTTAGTGTTTTTAGCGTCGCTGCGTTGGTACCACGAAAAACTTCAGTAGGTGAATGTTGGTGTCACGAACGTATGTGTATATATGTCATATGTTTCATTTTGCAGTAGAAAAGTAGAAGAAAATTATTTACATTGCACCCCATATTAAAGAATATATTTTTTAATGATCGTCCATCCCGGTTCATAATGATTATAGAGCAACCTGAAGCGTTTAAAACATGGTTAGCGGCCGTGTTGAAACCCATGTAAGTTGACCCCCATATTTAACGCATTAATAACGTTACTTCAATCGTGTGATAATTTGTTTACACGATCACATGCGTGAAACGCCAGTTGAACAACATTCTGGCCTGTAGTCGCCCGATTTTCGCTCGAAAAAATTCACCGTTACCTAACCTCACTTTTGAGTTTTCACAATGGCGTTGTGTCAGTAAACTGATTTCTTCTTTTGATTGAAGGTGTGACGCAGACCCTGCGGCGTTAGCAAAGTACGTTCTGGCTCTGATCAAAAAAGATAAGTCTGAAGAGGAACTTCACAAAATCATGGTTGGGCAGCTGGAAGTGTTTTTAGAAACTGGTGGGTAGGTAGCGAAGCGTCGATTAGTAACTAATGCGTTTTCGTTTTTGCAGAGACTGAATCTTTTGTAAATTTAGTGTTACGCACTCTCGAAACGCAGGATTATATAACAACACCCGTTATACCAAATACAAATCCTCCAAATCCAATCTTGATGAAATCAACCAAAGAACCAAAGCCAATTGTCCATCCTAGTGAATTACCCAACTTGAATGAAACTGTGAATGGTTCCAACGCGGTACGCAAGGAGCATGAATCAAAACGAGACAGAGAAATGAGGGAAACGAGGAAAACTGAACCTACTGTAAGTATTCGGTTATTTGACAGGAATAATTCAGTGGACCATGAAGGTCAACAATAATTCTGTAATTTGGTTTTTTCTTTAATGTTCATGGGGATTGACCAGTTTTGAAAATTGAAGGAAGATTGTCATAATTCATTTTGTGGTCATATAATGTGGTAATAAAATTACGCATAAAATTTATATATTTACTAGCACAAAATTATGTCACATATTAGAAGATCAATAAAAAATGATGAGTGAAGTCAAGTTATTTAACATCACTGTAGTGGGTGAATAGTTGACAACCAGTTTAAGTAGTAACGTTCACGTTGTTTATCATGCGTGTCCAGTCCTGGGCAATTTTTTTCCAGATATCAAGATAATCTTATTAGTGTTTTTGAAAAATGAATCAGATTGAATGTCAACGTTACATTACATTAATTCGGCATTCTATTGCTACTGATTAAGTAATTACACACACATTTACATATAATTAAATAACAACTAAACCAGTGGCTACGTAAATTTTACGACAGTAGATAGATATCGAAAAAATTGCATTCATATTTTTTCGATTTGCTTACACAGGTTGATGCAAAAAAAAAATTATAAAAACCCAATTTATTATTGTTATTTTTTTATTAAATCAAGAACTACAAAACCGAATAACTTGAAATCTTGGAGGCATTTTGAAGTTATTGCAGGCGTGGTAAATTTTTAATCAAAATATATCCCTTTGTCTCCCCAAAAAATTGATGACGTCATGTCAAAATTTTGCTGAAGTGATACTGTCTAAATACTGTGAAAATATGATGATATGATATGATATGATATGATATGATAGGTAAGACTGATTTTGGCAAATAACACCCTCTAAAACATAGAGGGCTAGTGGGCAGGACTATTATTTGCCAAGATATGACTGAACAATATTTGGAGTAGTCACTGGAATGAAGAGGGGGAGGGTGGGCGGGGTTACTGCTTGCTTATAAAAGACTGTAAGAAAAAGTTAAACTTAGCCCCACCCACCCACCCGTTCTTTTTTTCTTCTGAAATAAGAAATGCATTTTTTATACCAAATAGTATAATAAAAAAATTCGATTAGCGTAGTTTTTTCTCTTTTTAACAGCCTAGGTTCTATTAGTTTCTTGTCACTTTACAGAAGAACGTTTAATTAACTCCGCCCGCTTACCCCATCTTCATTTTAGTAATTCATTGTATCTGGTATGAATGAAAGGTGGACCTTATACTGATGAGCAGAAATAAAATCGTTGAAATGAGAATACGGCAGGTGGGCGGGGTTAGTACCTGCTAAGATAATACTGATTTTGGCAAATAACGCCCTTTAAAAAATAAAGGGCGGGTGGGTATCATTTGCCAAGATAAGACTGAACCAGTGACTATGTATTTAAAAGACCGGCAACCCCGTATCCTTATGCGTACCAGTGAGTTAATATTGGCGGTCAGATGGCGCCCCAAAATGCGACAAAAGCCCTCTAACCTTCAATGGTTGTTACTAATACCATTTTACGGGTTGTTGTCTGAGCTTGTACAACACAACTACTGTAAGTGAATCGCTCTTGCAGCCGTTTTAGTTTGAAATTTAACAAGTCGGACGGCGCGGAAAATTACTGACACTTTGTGACTCGAATCAAATAAGGGTGTCGGGACCAAAAATCTGCGCAAGTTTCAAACTAGCATAACTTTATTATTGAATGACGAATTAAAAATGCAACTGTTAACATTTATAAAACAACTTTATAGAGTACGATTTGCAACATATCTACTTGCTTCACAAATTTTTGTTTTAACACGGCGCGGCACATTAAATTTGTGAAAGCCAATATTTTTTTCTGCCAACTTTTCAGCAATACACAGTGCTTAATTCTGTATGTGTGAAGGGTTTCTACCCTACATTTTTCACACAAATTCCACTTTAGATTTCTTCAAAAGCGTACAATTGGTCGCAGTTGAGGGACGTTCGGAACATTTTTGTCCTTAGGAATAAACTGAATATTTATATGCATCAATAACGTTGGCAGTGTAATGATTCAGATTTTTTTTTAATTTTTGATTTTGTTCCAATTTTTGTTTTTCTGAACATTTGGGAATTGATTTTCGCTTTGCAAATATGATTTTATTCTCCCTTAGTAACGTACTTTTTGCCGATTTTAATTTTCTGTCCAAAATTTCTAAATGGCGTTCCAAGTTTACCGTGGTTAGTGAGTATGGATGTTAAAAATAGGACACACTATTTGCACTATTATATTACTAAATTACTAGTTATAATGTTTCAATACATGGTTACCGCCGTGGTTCTGACTGATTAAGGCTTCTCTCCTCTTCTGGCCCATTTTTGTTGCTGGAATTCCACTTCTTGTCTGTCTTTCTATCGAATTACCATTCTCTAGAGTTATAATTTGTCCTTTTTGATATTCCCATTTGGAAAAAGTGATTAAATGTGAAGGTTTTTTTTAAATGCATACGGTCTGTATAAAATTCGGCAAACACATTTCGGCAATTATTTTCATTCGAGTGTTCCATTTTCGCACAAAATATTAAACTTCTAGTGGAATTAGCGATAACAATTTTTGATAAGTCGTCGCCTGGGAACATGTTTGATCCACAGACCAGAGCGCGCTCATGCCAATGTCGATTCTAAGCGTTCAGAATTGAAAAAAGAAATTGAAAAGTTTCCAAAACTGATAATGTTGAAAAAATTGAGAAATCGGAAAATCTATAAATCGAAAAATTTTAAAAATCGAAAAACCAAGATAAAAAAAAGATAAAATCGAGAAGTCTAAACATAAAGAAATAAAAAAAAATAAAATTTAAAAACAGAGAAATTGAATAATTGGATAAATGAAAAATCGAAACATCGAAAAATTGGAAAATTGAAAAATAAAAAAAAAGTGGAAAATCGAAAAATTAAAATGTAGGAACAACCGTTCCCACAAAATCAGGTGTTCTACCTGAGCGCATTCATAATCTTTGTACAAATGTAAATACGTCCTATCTTTCGTCTACCTGCCCTACACTCCTACGTACTTTCTCTTTCCGTTTCTAGAATTTTCTAAACTCTTTTCTTTACCTACTACCACCTATTTGAAAGTTTGAAACCGAGCCTACCTGTCGACCATTCAAACACCCTTCGATCTTTTTCTCCCTGGCACTCTCAAACAGTAAAAGGAACTAAATAAAATCTGAAAACCGTAACCGCCGCTTTTTCTAAAAATCACCAACGATACCCACAAAAAAAATGGAAAATCGAAAAATAAAAAAAATGGAAAATCAAAAATTTAAAAATTCCAAAAATTGAAAAATTGAGATAGAAGTACTGAAAAGTCGAGAAATCGAAAAACCTAATATTTTAAAAACTGAAAAGTAGAGATGTACCGACTGTAGGTCTGGCCGACTAACCGACTAGCCGATTATTCGGTCAGTAAAAACCGACTAGTCGGCCGACTGTTCGGCTTTGCTAAAACCGGTTTATAAATGCGACAGACAGTGTGTTTTTTTTTTCTATTTCTCTGACTATCTTAAAAATTTGTTTTATTTTAATAAAAGGAATAACTAAAGTTCCTTCGTTTCCAAAAAATGTGTTAAATTTGTTTGGATAATTTTATCATTTAATTTTTTTTTGTAACTCAGTACAAAAATAACGAATAACACAATTTATGGCCATTTTATACAATATTTTAACTGAGATTAAGTTGATCGGACATTTAACAAGGCCATTAGCGACGTCTCATTGGCGTAGAGTCGGTCACATGGTACTTTAACGCGGGGTTAAAAATTAAATCGCAATTAAATATTTAATTGAGGTTCTGTAAACCGGGTTTAATCTATACTTATATAATAAAGCTGAAGCTTTTGTTTATTTGAACACGCATATCTCAGAAACTACTGGTTCAAATTCAAAAAATCTTTTTCTGTTGGATAGTCCATGTATCATATCTACATATAGGCTATATAACATCACGCTACGATCATTAGGAGCGAAGTAGGAATGAAAAATTCGGAAAAACGGGAAAATTATTCCTCCTTTGACAACTTCCGTTGCTTACGCTGCTTAAACGGTTAAAGTTACGTAAAAATCATGTATGACGAAATTGTTCCCCTCTAAAAGTTCTAAAGAAAAGTCCGCGACAGCATATGTCTATCTTTTAAGGTCGAGTCAGTATAACCTTTTTTATGGTAATGAAATTTGTTCTAAAATAATAATGCATTATGTATAAAATTCTCGCGTAACAGTGTTTGTAACCGAACTTTTCCGCAATGGGTTGACCAATTTGTATGAAATTTTTTATGTATATTCGGTAGGTCTGACAATAAATTGTAAACTATTTTTTAAACCCCTAAGTGATAAGGGTGGCCCATCCTAAAAAATGTTTGTCTATTTTTTTGACAAAATTTTTTATTTTTATTTTTTTAAGATTTGGCATCAAAAAATACACATAACCCTAAATTTTCACCTTTCTACCACCAACCCCCATTTTTTAATCGTCTATAAAATAAAAATCAATTGCTGTTCCTGTTGGTCTCGCTAAGACTCAAAAACGGCTTGACCGATTTGAAATTTTTTTTATATTACGGGGATGGTTTATAAATAAAAAAAATAAGGATAACTTAAAAGAACAGTTAAAAAATAAAAAAATTCTAAAAATTTTGTATGGGAATCGCCACTTCGAATTAATTTCAATAGTTGGCGTTTCTGACGGACCTGGCGTCTAACTGACGTGTCATACAAAACTAATTCTTCCGTGCGATTGTGAAAAGTATATTGCATTTCAAATCGTTCTGTTTTTTCGTAAAAAAAAACGTCGTTTATTTTAAGAAAAGTCTTGGTTAAAGTGAATTTAATTACACATTGCGAAAGTTTCTTATTCATTTTGATCTGCCATTCTTTTTACCTATATTCACTTTGTTGGTTTCGACAAAACCTCAAACTTTACCGTTATTAGAGGATTTAATTTGAAGTTTTCAATATTTTAAAATTCTCAATACAAAATTTACAGATT